AGTGGAGGCTACATTACTCTCAATGTTTCCTTGTTTTTGCTTCTTAATCCACTCGAAACAATTTTTCTTTAAATATCTAATCTTATTGCAGTGAAAACAATTTCTGGTCTCCCCTCTTGTTTTACCATAACCCTTCCCCTTTTTCTTATTCTTTGGGCCATTACTACGATGCATTCCATTTACAGATTGACCTAAGTCTGATCTACCCTTCACAAACAAATTATTTCCATTTCTCTTTTGGACCTTTAATTCTAACTCCCTAGCCTTTAATCCATCAATTATCAGGTCAAGACTAGGCACAGTACCAGTATATTGAAGTGCATTTTTGACAACTTGGTACTCATCAGTTAAGGAATTAAGCAGGATCATAGCTAAGCTAGTATCCCCTAATTCTTGGTCTGTTCCTTTTAAAATCAAAGTCATCTTCAAAAATTTGTCCAAATTATCTTCTAAAGACTTAGAGTTATCTATTTTGTAAGAAAACAATGCACCCTTTAAGAAAACTAGGTTTGGAGCAAACTATAATGAATAAAGTGTTTTAGGTTTACCCCATAAGGTGAGAGGTGTATCCATGCCATCTACCTTCCTCAGCACGTTGTCAGACAGGTTCATCACGATAAGGTTGTGCGCTTCCTCATCAACTTCAGCCTTTTTCTTCAATTTTTCCTTTGGCCACTTGGTAACATCCTTTTCTAGAGGAATCGCAACTTTGTTATGAGACAACAGTGCTTTCATCTTCTTTTTCCAACTACTGAAATCGATTTTCCCATCATATTGGGAAATCTCCATTTGTGTGGTACTCATGGTGTAGTGTTTAGGAATTGATGCGGTATTTGAATGAAATACGAACTTAGATTATCTAGGAATAGACAGATTAAAGAATCCCCAAAAACAGATTTTGACGAAACCCTAGATTTTCAATAGAACCACTAAATCGGAGAAATCTTGACTTAAATTTAAGATCTAATAATCCTTAAGTACTAAGCAACACAAAGATCAAGAAACCCCCAATTTTCTACGAACCCTAAATTCCAAGAAAATCAATTTGATCGACACAAAACCTTAGAAATTAAGGCTCTAATACCATTGTTATTATTCTTTAATCAGAAATCTGCTTTAAATCTAATCAGTCAAACACAAAGATCAAACAAGCAACCACAAAGAAATCAGACACACAATATACCATGGTTCACCTATTCAAGAATGAATAGGCTACGTTCACGTTGAGCTCCACAACTGATAGGGCTCTCTGCACTAATTGATTCCATAGATCCAATTACAAACACAATCAAGATTCACTTACTCCTCACTCCTCACTTCGCTCAAACTCTTTTAGTAAATCTAAACAGAACTGCAATCTTCACCCTAGGAGAAACTCTATCTTGGTATCCCTAGCCCAAGAGTAAACAGACCCTCTATGAGTGATTTACAAAGAAATCCTCACTTGATCACAACAGATTTTACAAAGAAATATAACAAAGAACCTTAGCTCTGACAATGGCAAAAGTCGTATACAAAAGAGAGAAAAGTGTTTTGTGATCTGTCCTCTAAACCCAATTTTTAGACTGTTTTATATGGCTGGATGTGAGGGTTAATAATAGGCGTTGGATCAGCTTTAGAATTAATGGCTTAGATCTTGGATGGTTGAACAATGTGGCACCGTTTGGATAAGTGCATTAGCTGAAGCACAAGATGTCACCGTTTCTGGCTTCACCATCAACATAAATAAAGTTGTATACTCTGTATATAGTTTGGCATCAGAATATGGAAAAATGTGTTCAAAAAATTCAACATCTCTGCTAACAAAAAATTTATTGTTAGTAATATCAAACAATTTATATCCCTTTTGAAAAGTAGGATACCCCAAAAAAATGCAATGTAAAACTCTTGGACTAAACTTATCTAATTTAGGCAAAATGGTAGCATAACAAAGGCATCCAAACACTCTCATTTTTGTCAAATTTGGTGTTTTATGAAAAAGCATTTCATATTTATTTTGAAGAAGAGATGTTGGAACCCTATTAAGGATATATGTGGTAGTTAAAATCAGAGTCGGCGGTGGGCCGTGTCGTGCCTAAAAATTCAAGGCTTATGTCTTGCTAAGGTCTGTAGAAATTAGTGTCTTGTCGTGTCGTGTCGGCCGACCAATCTGAAGGCCCACGGCATGGGCCGCTATACAACATGTCATGTCGCGGGCTATGCCATGGACCTACCACGTGGGCCGACCTACAATTTTTTTAATATTTATAAATTATGTTAATTTTGATTTATTATTAATAATAATTATAAAAAGAGTAATACTAGCCTTACAAAGAGCCATACAAAGAGACAAATTCATCCCTTGAAAGAAGGAAAAAAGACAGAGAGAGAGAGAGAGAGAGAGAGGCAATCATGAATTTTAAGGGCTGGATTTGTCTCTTTGTATGGCTGTTTGTAAGGTTAGTATTACTCTTATAAAAATATATTATATGTTATATTTGGTGACATTTTGTATCTTATTAATAAAAAAATATAATTACTGTGAAATAAAATAAAACAATGAGAGAAGTGAAATATTAATTAAATTTCAACATTTTTTATTATTTATAAATTATAAATACAAACTTAGAAATTAAGATTAAGAATTAACGTTAACAAGTACATCTCCGTTATAAATACAAGTATACAAATAATACAACTATCTCAACTTTGATTCTGGTTTACAAATATTTAAAATAAATGATTGATCAAAAAAATATCATGCATCTTCATTTTTATTAATTTCTTTGTTGTTTACAAATATTCTAGTTTACTCATTTCATTTGTTGTTTTTGTTTTATTTACGGTTTCTTCCAAGGTTTCATCTATTTATCCAATAAAAAGAGGTTGGGATATAAGAGCGGGGAATTGGAGATTCATGATCCCATTCAACCTCATCATCCGATTTTTTTTTACAATTACCATGTAACCCCTGATATTTAGGGATGGGTTTTGTGATATTTATAAAACCACATGGCACATTTAAAAGTATTTCAAATGTTGAGGGTTTAGATTAGTTATCCACTTATCCTTATTTTTTTGTGAAAAGAAAGTTAGAATTTTTATTAAGGATTGGGTTTTTTGAAATAGCTTATTATTCACGCCAATTAAGATTAAAATTTAATATTTATAATTCTCTTCTTTTGTCTCTATACTCTTAAGTCTTATACTGTTTTTCAGTGTTCAAATTTGAAACTTGTGAATTGTACTTGCCTTTTATGTCAAGTTCTTCTGGAATTTGCACTTCTTGATAAATTTTGGAATCATTGGACACTTTGGTATTTTTAGTTGTGTAGTTTTTCATTTAACATACATTAATTTTCTAGGTTTGGTATAGATTTTTTGACAAGCTAATTTAATTGATATGTTAGATATTGTTGTGTGTGATCCATCAAGCTCAGGCCTTTGCGAGGATATAGCCTGATCCAAAACTAGCTCGACAACGATGATTGATCGACCCAGCATAAGTCATCGAGCTATAGCTCAACCCAGTATAAGCTAATCGCGAACAATCAGAACAATCATTCAATCAATCTCCAGATTACTTTAGATCCCAGATATTGCAGGAATGACTAGATCAACAACGATCACTGCGTAATCACAGCGCTTAATCGTGAGAATATCAAAATTGCGATTCAGATCAATTGTAATCCGCTTAATTTCGCTCTTTCCTTTGTACAAATCTTGTATATAAACCCCCTCAAATGATGAGGAAATGATTATGAATTTCACATAGGAACTACATTGTAAGCTCTCACAGTAAATACTAAAACAGTGGATGTAGACTTCAGAGTTAACCTCGCCGAACCACTTTAAAACTCTCATTGTCTTTACTTTATTGCATTTTTACATACATTGCTGATTATTTTTAATCACGTACACGTCAGTTTCGATCCCGACAAGATCGATCAGATCTCTCTGGTTGGTGCAAATTTCTATATCAACAGATATTGAAATTAATATTGTCTTGATTTCTTAACAATTTTTTAATTTGATCCGTGTCCAAAGAGTTGTCAATTGGTCTATTTACCTTTATTATTATTATTATTATTATTGTTATTAATGTTATTTTGTAATTGGAAAATCGTGTAACGTTCTTTACTACTGCAGGTTGTAGGGAGAGTACTGTTGGTAAGGAATGAATTTGATGCTTCAAATTTCACATGTCGTGATTTATCTACCCTTGGCTTGGTTGGAAATGTTCGGGTTTTTTTCTTTCGTAGAATAATATTATGCTACCACCCAAACAATGTTCTTTCGTTTCTGAAGTATAAGATTCTGTTATCATTTTCTCAATGCACTAAAGGTTTTTTTTTAATGATTAACATGCGAGAGGACAACCGGATTTTTAGATGCAAGTATGTTTTCATTGCATGAGATCATTTGGAATTTTTTTTTTTTTTTTTTTTTTTGTTGAACGCTGAATAAAATCTTTCGCTATTTCATGTTGTGATGTCACAGCTAGACCTGATGGAGGATGGATGGTTTCTTATTTAATTTTCTTTTTTGCATGATTGATATGAAAGACGCGAACCAGAGTTTATAAATGTAAGTATGTTTTCAATGCATGAGGTCATGTGGATTCATCTTTGCTTTAACCTCGCATTTATCCTCTGGGGACATGTTTGCATGGGCTCTTTTAGGCTTAAAAGGCGTTAGCTTCGTCTTACCTCCTTTTGCTTGCTCGAGTCTGCATTGAACACCAATTCATACCAGTCTAAAGGATTGCCCGATGTTTCTGCCAACGTTACTGTTGTAATTGGGTAATGATGATCATTTTTATACATTCAGACTACTTTTCCTCTTGTTTTGGGCGATACTACTAATTTTTCTTGGCTCATACAGGAGACGAGGATATGAAAATATAATTGGACTCCAAACGATGGATCTTGTAATGAAAAAGTTAAAAACCCACCTGCTAGGGATAATTTATTATTTTTCCTGTGAATTAACTTGATGCAATACAGGGTTGCTGCTACTGAAGAAGTGATCGAAATTGATGGTAAACAAAATTAAGTTTGAAATGCCCTACATCGGAAGAATAAAAACTAAGGGGAGATAAGGGTCACACAGGCAGATCAGGAATCGGTGTATGGTTTAGAATGGAGACAATAGGATAGTAAGTTATGTACTGAACTTTCTTTCTTTACACATTTATTTTGAGACAAGGTCTATCTGAAAGCGAACCATGGAAGTTAATGGAAAGAATTCCTGTCAAACTTTACATTTCACCCTAATAGATAGCAAAAATGGATAAACGCTAAATGTTAAAACAACCGATACTAGGTGATACGTATCAAGATAGGTAGAGCTTGAGAGAAAGGGAGGACTCAAAGAATAGAAAGGGGTCATGCCTTGTATCCTTCATTCATTTCATTGATTTTAGCTTTTCTTCTCATTCTTATTTTGTACAAAACGGCATGGGAGAAGCTTCTCCCCCTGTTCAAATAAAAAATTTCCAATGGAAAAGGACATCGATGTCACTAACACAATCTGGAAAAGAGCACAAACTGAAAGTCTGAATTGATTCTACATTGAATTCTTCAACAAAAACCAAGCTAAACAAGACTTAAGGGCTTGATGAGCTTGTCATTCTCCTTTGAGCTAAAAAAAGACAAAAGGCTTGAACTGAACAATAACCAATGGTTTTATAATCAAATCTGCAACCTGCTGTGAATTTAGATGATATATAGTGAGAGAGTGTCTGTTAATCTCAATATGTTTTACTGTCAATAATTTGATATAATAGGAAAAATTCTAAAAAGGAAAAATTAAATAAAATATATTATGGCAGGGATTGAATTCAGCAAACATACCATATAGTCAAAGGGCGAAAGACTTGATTTGCAAGTCAAGAGAGCTTGAGTTTCTTAAATCTTTCATGTAGTGGTTCCTCATCATCATGGGAGTCATGGCTTCGCTTAGCTGTTTCAACATGCATCTTTGGATACAAGCACTGTGTTTTAGAGAAATCAATTAGTTTTGATTAACTCCCTGTTTACTGCAATTGATCTAGAGAATGGGCCTCTTTGATAAACCACCAATTAATGTGATAATTTTTATAATTAATTAAACTATATTAGACTATAATTTTTTCATGAAATAATTACAGCTTCCTATTAATATAGCAATGTTTACGAACATTTGGGAATTTCTGCCCTTGCGAGTGAATCTTATTATTATATTGATATGTATTATTCTTCTCTCTAAAATATCATTCAGCTTCTACATAGTTATTTTATGGTGCATCTTGATTGTAGTCAATCTAAAAGACTAAAATAGACAAGAAATTGAGAGCAAAATTAATTAGATAGAAATAGAGATTTGAACTTCCTTACCCTTTAAAAGAATTATAATTCTTTAAGTCTTTTAGGTTGCGGTTCATCATCATCGTCATCATCTCAATCATCATCATCGTCGTCGTTGTCATCACCCGTCGTCGTCATCATCCTCATCATCATCGATAGGGACTCATTCAAGTCTAAAAAGCAAAGCCAGTGGGTTACTTGTACTTGGATTCAACTCTTCCACTTCTTTTCATCCTCATACCTTTTGACATCACAATTATTGTACAACAAAACCAGATCAAACATCGTGATCAAATAATTAATATAAAAAAATCAATGCATTAAAGAAATCAATTTGATTCTATATTTAAAATAAGCAATTAAAAAACAGTTACATGCTATTAAGTTAGTGAAAATTATTTGAATTGAACTTTAAGTTACTGCAAAAGATATATTTTAGAAGTTTTCTAGAAGTTTCCGTGCCCACTTTACTCTTAATTCATCTTGTGATGTGTTCATGTGCCCATGAATTTAACAACAATATATATTCTTTATATTAACTTTTGCATCTGAAAAGAGTGAAAACTTTATATTTCTAGTCCATTAGCTAACAAGAGTTTCCAGAAAAATGAATTAGGAAAATAAAAAACTATCATATATTAAAATTAGGTGTAGAAGGAAACTTACTTGTTTTTGTAGTCGTATATTTTCAATCTCTTAGGTTGTGTCAGTTGTATCAATCACGGTAATCCAACCATTTCTTCAAGTCCAGAGAAGTAGCAGACTCCTAGATTGCCAATCATGTGCAACAGAAAGGCCAAAGGATGGTGGTTCATCGTTACAACGGTCATTTCATTGAGTTTTAGCCTTCTCTTTAAAGATGAAAGATCTATTGGATTCTTCCATTTGTTCTCAAAATCTTGAGGGTACAATAAACGAACTCCCCATTTTTCACCTTACAACCTTCTATGGATACTTCATCTAGGTGGTAACTTTGAAATTGATGATGGCAGCACCAAAAACATATGTGCACGTAAATCAAATCTCTACGAGTAACATAACACAATCATATCCCAAGAATACATGATCTGATTTGATGTATGTATTTCTATCTCCTTCAAACTGACCTTGTAGACCCAATTGCAAAAGAACTACATGAACCATCATTTTTTTCGATGCAACTCAAGGTTAACAAAGAAAGGTGGCCAAAATCTAACAAATCTGGATCTACAACGTTGCAGAAGGCCAAAGCCGCAAAGTCATAACGGAATGTGCCCGTGGTAGTTCTATATCATTACTAACATTTTGAAAGTCAAACCACTCTGGTTCACTTCCAGGAAAACTCATACAACCTTTTGGATTCAAACAATTCATCTGTAATAGAAAATCGAACATTGTTAATTAACTTCAAAATTTTTTTCACAAAATAAATATAAAAATAAGAATTGACTTGTATGATAAGAGAGAGACCTCTTCAACTTGTGAGCATAAAATTGTATCTTGTTGAGAATTTAGTAAGAGCATTTTCACAATTTCTCTAGTGGCATTCCTTTTGAATTTCCAATACTGCGCTTCTAGAAATTTTAGATTATGTGGACATCTGACATGAATGAGGCCTGTTAAGGACAGATAAGTTAAGCAATAACATTTTACATGAATGATATAAAATTTGATCTGTTAAGTGACTTCAGAATGTCATATAAAATTAGTACCACGTGAAATAAAAAATTTAGTACTACTTGAGATATTATAATTGCTTTTTGTTAGACAAATAAATTAAAGAATTCAAAGACATTATTTAGCTGAAAATAATCTTTATTATTTACCTAATTTGCATTACCATCAAAGGGATTTGAAATTTGCAATTTTTGGTTTGTAGATCATCTTTGGCCTTCTCTTTCCTTTCTTTTAGCATTGTCAACACTTCTTCTGGATATTTCCAATGGTTCTCCTAATCTTCAACGTACAAGAATTTAATCCCACACTTTTTCACCTCTCTTCGTAAGCATTAAATTTGATGAGCACTTTACAATTTGATGGCATCTCATCTCATAACAAATTCTATCATGATATATTTGTGCTCTTTAAACACAAATTCCGTTATAGAATGAACTAAATAATACATGATCCGACAGGTTCGCCCAGTAGACGATTTGTTGACACCTATAGTTCATGTTCAGTTATATAAATTTGCTCCTCACCATCTTCACTTTTGACCGAGCAAAACAGTAACACGTAAAAATGAATACCACAGTAAAACCTGGAGAACAACAATAGATGCAAGAAACCTAGAAGTTTTATTATGCCATCTAGTGACTGATCAAGATTTATATAAGATCCCGTATTTTGAAAGGTAAACCACTTTGGAATTTCATCTCCAGGGAAACAGATATTACGCACAATTCTCGACAAGATTCCTGACCAATGAAGGAAAATCATCACATCATAACATAATTTAGCTTAGAATTTTTTTTTTTCTATTACTTTTAAAAACACCTACCATCATAAAAGGACAAAGGATAAAAGAGATACCTCATGAAGAATTTTAGATAAATCCAATTTAAAACAAATAAAACTTGTTTTTCGTCGTCTCCAATGAGGTAACATAGAAATAATGGATCCGATATTGATTGCAAGGATAGTGCAGCATCTTGCCATCACACCTACACCCATTGGAAGCTCTGGCAAAAGTTGAAGTCTCCGACAGTTACTTATGTCTAAGAATTTCAATTTAGAAACCCTTTGATGTTTTCTGGCATGCTCTCAAATTATTTCCAGATGATATAAGTCTTCTAGAAAGGATAATTGTCCAAGATGGTCAGGTAATTTGGTCATTTGAAAGTTTGAAAATCAATCCATTCGATAGAGTTTGAACCTGACGAAGAATTCAATACCCAATTCAAGGGTGTCGGTTCATCATCAACTCGACATAGTTCTAATTTACAAAGTTTTGGCAAGTGTAAGATGGATGTGGTACTTCTTCTATGATTGTTCTTTAGAATCGAGAAACTCGAGAGCTTCTAAATCTCCAAAGTCATGGGGTAATCTTTTGAATTTGGAGCGTCTGAAAAGCTTAAGCACTTCGAGATATTTCAACTTACAGATGCTGCTTGAGAGACTCTCAAGCGATGAACAGTGTGAAAGATCCAACTGAACTAGTCTAGTGGATTTTCGACGAAGAGTGATTCTTTATTGCAGTACCACTTAAATATAGATTTTCCACCTTACATGAGATCTTTGGCTATCTCCAGAGTATACGCAACGGTAGAGATTAATAGATTTGATTGAATGCCATCCGTTAGACTAATAACCTTATGCAATTCCTTAGATCCAGCTCAACAAGCTTATTGAGATTTTGAATAGAAGAGGAGGGATCTCCAACAAACTTGAACACCCCTTTAAAATCAAATACTGAAGATTTGAGGCCCTTGAGAGATTTGGAATCTCTGTCATGTGTTTGGAAAACTGAGATCAACATAATTCAATTTACAAGATTCTGTAAGAAAACAAACTCATATTAGTGCCTTGTATTTTTATAATTTTTCACACAGAAAGAAAACCGTATAAATACCAAAATAATACCTACCTGAACACATTCCAATGTTTACCTTTGTTGTCTTGCATAACAAGTTTAACAAGATTCTCTGAAGGAAATTTAATGGCAATGATTCAAATGGGCATTTATTCCAACTGAAGTATGTAATGTCATTGGGAAAGGATTCAGGTTTCTTCAAACCATCCAACTTAGTTTCAGAATTATCTTGGTCTTGCCAGTATTTTGAGTGTATACTCTACGAATCTTAAGTTATCCATCTTGAGAAAAGATGACAATTTAAGCCTGCATCGCTTATTTTAGATATGTCCAAGCTAATGCTTCGTACTGCTTCAATTCCCTAACATCAACAGAGATCAGTTGCATACAAGAGAGAAGATACTCCCATTAATCAAACTAATTAATTAAGTTAACGTTTGCTAACCATCAATGTTAACCTAATCAAATTAATTTAAGCTTCATACGTAAGTTAAGATACAAAATTTATTTTTTTATTAAAAATAAATTATGAATCAATTACAAACAAATACTCTAGTGAATAGAAACATTGAGCTAACTGAAACAAATAAAGATCACGAATTTCAGAAGTAGAGATTAAAATAAGTAGGATAACAATAACGATAACGATAATAGTGCTTCAAAAGTAAGACATATTGTTTTAATATTTCTTTTTTATGTACTTTAGCTTTCTTTGAATTGAAGAAAGGAAATAATTTTAATTAATTGTAAGACACTAAACAATTTACAAAAAGCAAAAATGTAAATATAGAAGCTTGACTTATAAGTAAAATAAAAACATTAATCTGATAATAAAAAACATTTTTTTTTTTTGGGCTAGCCTCTAGTACGAGGAAGACTTTATTAGAATGAAAATAATAATAATAATAATAATAAAGCTACCATGATCTCTCATTAGATATCCTCAAACCAGACGTTAATTTAAAATTTGTGTAAAAATATAAGCTCACTCTAAAAGCTATTTGTCTATCTATATATATGTACAACTAGCCTTTACCTTTCTTCTTTTAAATGCTTTGAAGATATCCATATGATGCCATAGACGAATCTCTTTGCAACTATCTTCTCGAGCAATTTCCCTACCCATTTCTTGAAGCAAATCATGCATTGTTATGATATTGTTGAATGTCCGAAACACGAGACATTTGTCAATAAGAACTTCTATTCCATTCTTGGCAGAAATGTCACAAGCATTTAAGATTTCTATGACTGAAGCTATATGTTCCCCTTTGAAGAAACATGCAATATCTAAAAATAAATCTTTTTCTTTCTCAAGTCCATCATAACTAACTCTTAGTACCTTTTGAATTTCCGAAGGAGGACCTTTGGCTAGTTCTTTTATTGCACTTTCCCAAAATTCTTTTCCCTTGGAACACAAATAAGAACCCAACACTTTAAGAGCCAAAGGGAGACATTTGGTATATGAAATTGCTTTGTTCGATAGCTCCATATAATCTTCAATAGGCAAGTCTCGTTTAAAGGCATACCGATTAAAAAGTTGATGAGCTTCCTCCTCCCTTAGTCCCTGAACCTCGTATATATAAGCATCATCTACTCCACAATTTCTCAACACGTGCTTATTCCTTGTTGTTATGATAATTTGACTTTTTGAGCTCAACCAATTAAGATTTCCAATCAAATTTTCTATTTGCTGTAAAGATGTCACATCGTCAAAAACAATGAGAACCTTCTTATCTTTAAGTCTTTTTCTTGCAAATGTGAGTCCTATATTAGGATCTCTATCCTCTAATATTTTGGAGAGAAGTTCTTTTTGCAAGTGAGTTAATCTACTACTTTTCTCTGACTCTTCTCTAACATTTTCAGCAAAATAGGATCCTTCAAAATGACTAAAAATTTTGTCGAATACTACATGGGCAATAGTTGTCTTGCCAACACCACCTATNAAATTTGCTCCTCACCATCTTCACTTTTGACCGAGCAATAACAGGTAACAACGTAAAAATGAATACCACAGTAAAAACCTGGAGAAACAACAATAGATGCAAGAAAACCTAGAAAGTTTTTATTATGCCAATCTAGTGACTGATCAAGAGTTATATAAGATCCCGTATTTTGAAAGGTAAACCACTTTGGAATTTCATCTCCAGGGAAACAGATATTAGCACAAAATTCTCGACAAGATTCCTGTACCAATGAAAGTGAAAATCATCACATCATAACATAATTTTAGCTTTAGAATTTTTTTTTTTCTATTACTTTTAAAAAACAACTAACATCATAAAAAGGACAAAGGATAAAAAGAGATACCTCATGAAGAATTTTAGATAAATCCAATTTAAAACAATGAATAAAACTTGTTTTTCGTCGTCTCCAATGAGGTAACAATAGAAATAATGGATCCGATATTGATTGCAAGGATGAGCTGTCATTTGCCATCACACCTACACCCATTGGAAGCTCTGGCAAAAGTTGAAGTCTCCGAGAGTTACTTATGTCTAGAAATTTCAATTTAGAAAGCCCTTTGATGTTTTCTGGCATGCTCTTAAAATTATTTCCAGATAGATATAAGTCTTCTAGAAAGGATAATTGTCCAAGATTGTCAGGTAATTTGGTCATTTGAAAGTTTGAAAAATCAATCCATTCGATAGAGTTTGAACCTGACGAAGAATTCAATACCCAATTCAAGGGTGTCGGTTCATCATCAACTCGACATAGTTCTAATTTACAAAGTTTTGGCAAGTGTAAGATGGATGATGGTACTTCTTCTATGATTGTTGCTTTAGAATCGAGAAACTCCGAAGCTTCTAAATCTCCAAAGTCATGGGGTAATCTTTTCAATTTGGAGCGTCTGAAAAGCTTAAGCACTTCGAGATATTTCAACTTACAAATGCTGCTTGAGAGACTCTCAAGCGATGAACAGTGTGAAAGATCCAATTGAACTAGTCTAGATGGATGTTCGACGAAGAGTGATTCTTTTATTGCAGTACCACTTAAATATAGATTTTCCACCTTACATGAGATCTTTGGAGCTATCTCCAGAGTATAGCAACGGTAGAGATTAATAGATTTTGATTGAATGCCATCCGGTAGACTAATAAGCCTTATGCAATTCCTTAGATCCAGCTCAACAAGCTTATTGAGATTTTGAATAGAAGAGGGAGTGATCTCCAACAAACTTGAACAACCATTTAAAATCAAATACTGAAGATTTGAGGCCCTTGAGAGATTTGGAATCTCTGTCATGTGTTTGGAGAAACTGAGATCAACATAATTCAAATTTACAAGATTCTGTAAGAAAACAAACTCATATTAGTGCCTTGTATTTTTATAATTTTCAACAGAAAGAAAACCGTATAAATACCAAAATATATACCTACCTGAACACCATTCCAATGTTTAACTTTGTTGTCTTGCATAACAAGTTTAACAAGATTCTCTGAAGGAAAATTTAATGGCAATGATTCAAACGGGGCAATTATTCCAACTTAAGATGTAATGTCATGGGAAAGGATTACATTCCAAAACATCTAACTTAGTTTCAGAATTATCTTGGTCTTGCCAGTATTTTGAGTTGTATACTCTCAAGAATCTAAGTTATCCATCTTCGAGAAAGATGACAATTTAAGCCTGCATCGCTTATTTAGATATGTCCAAGCTAATGCTTCGTACTGCTTCAATTCCCTAACAGTCAACAGAGATGAACAGTTAGCATACAAGAGGAAGTACTCCCATTAAATCAAACTAATTAATTAAGTTAACGTTTGCTACCATCAATGTTAAATAATCAAATTAATTTAAGCTTCATACGTAAGTTAAGATACAAAATTATTTTTTTATTAAAATAAATTATGAATCAATTACAACAAATACTCTAGTGAATAGAAACATTGAGCTAAGCAACAAATAAAGATACGAATTTCAGAAGTAGAGATTAAATAAGTAGGATAACAATAACGATAACGATAATAGTGCTCTAAAAGTAGACATATTGTTTTAATATTTCTTTTTTATGTACTTAGCTTTCTTTGAATTGAAGAAAGGAAATAATTTTAATTAATGTAAGACACTAAACAATTTACAAAAGCAAAATGTAAATATAGAAGTTGATATAAGTAAAATAAAACACTTAATCTGATAATAAAAAACATTTTTTTTTTGGCTAGCCTCTAGTACGAGAAGACTTATTAGAATGAAAATAATAATAATAAAGCTACCATGATCTCTCATTAGATATCCTCAAACCAGACGTTAATTAAAATTTGTGTAAAAATTAAGCTCACTCTAAAAGCTATTTTGTATCTATATATATGTACAACTAGCCTTTACCTTTCTTCTTTTAAATGCTTTGAAGATATCCTATGATGCCTAGACGAATCTCTTTGCAACTATCTTCTCGAGCAATTTCCCTACCCATTTCTTGAAGCAAATCATGCATTGTTAGATATTGTTGATGTCCGAAACACGAGACATTTGTCAATAAGAACTTCTATTCCATTCTTGGCAGAAATGTCACAAGCATTTAAGATTTCTATGACTGAAGCTATATGTTCCCCTTTGAAGAAACATGCAATATCTAAAAATAATTTTTCTTTCTCAAGTCCATCAACTAACTCTAGTACCTTTTGAATTCCGAAGGAGGACCTTTGGCTAGTTCTTTTATTGCACTTTCCAAAATTCTTTTCCCTTGGAACACAAATAAGAACCCAACACTTTAAGAGCCAAAGGGAGACATTTGGTATATGAAATTGCTTTGTTCGATAGCTCCATATAATCTTCAATAGGCGAGTCCGTTTAAAGGCATACCGATTAAAAAGTTGATGAGCTTCCTCCTCCCTTAGTCCCTGAACCTCGTATATATAAGCATCATCTACTCCACAATTTCTCAACACGTGCTTATTCCTTGTTGTATGATAATTTGACTTTTTGAGCTCAACCAATTAAGATTTCCAATCAAATTTTCTATTTGCTGTAAAGAGTCACATCGTCAAAAACAATGAGAACCTTCTTATCTTTAAGTCTTTTCTTGCAAGTGAGTCCTATATTAGGATCTCTATCCTAATATTTTGGAGAGAAGTTCTTTTTGCAAGTGAGTTATCTACTACTTTTCTCTGACTCTTCTCTAACATTTTCAGCAAAATAGGATCTTCAAAATGACTAAAAATTTTGTCGAATACTACATGGGCAATAGTTGTCTTGCAACACCACCTATCCCAAATTCCTATTTTGAAACACCATTGAATCCCTTGTGCAACAAAGACTCTATTCTTTTTGGAAATTCTATTCCAACCGGCCCGAATAATCACTTGGAGACAATTATTCAGTCTCATGGAAATATCGTCCAAAATTTCATCTATAAGTTTAGATTCAGGCCTAAAAAATACAAACAAAACAACTTTAATTAGTTAGAAAATGTTGATTTAGGTTTCATTCAATTAAAGCGGTAGGAAATATTTATGACACTAAAAGAATTACAAAAAGAGAATATTATGGAATTAAAACTTACTTCTGATTATTATAGTCCAGCCAACTAGACTAGCTGCTTCATTCAAAGCAGTCTTCCATCTTTGCAGCATCTCTAACTTCTCCTTAGTACATTTTTCAAGCTCAGCAATCCGTTTCCAAAACTCCCAGTTTGATTCCTTACATCTGATGGGTCTACGTGGTAGAAAACTGGTATAACAATCTGCTCTCTATTTCTTGTAGTGAAGGATTTGTTCGAGTTCTTGGAGGCACCATCCAGAAGATGCATAACTTTTTGAGAAAATGATGACTGAAATTTTTGATGCTTTAATGGTATTCAAAGAAATGATGAAATTTCATCTCCTCTAACATTTGGTCATCAATGAAAGTATTAATCTTTTTACGACACAAAGCCGCATAGAGATGGCTCGTGAAACTGTTGCGGGTGTCCTCGCCTCTGAAACTAAGAAAAACATCATGCTTCTTGAAGGATTGTTGGTGGGAGACGAAGAACCAGCCATCAACATCAATTGATGAAATGCTTTTCAATTCTGTTATGTAACAAAATATTAATGATATTCTTCGTCAATCAAAAACATTCATTAGAAAATAAATTGAAGTAAATGAGAAATCAAAAATTATGATTCAATATAATTATTAAATAATTCATTATATTCCTAGTAATTCTAAAAAAATAATTAAATGATACGTAAACAATTAATAACAATAACAATAAAATAGAGATTACCTTTAATTAGCCTTAGAAGTTCAGATCTAAATCAAGAATCTTTAAACAAAATTTGATGCTAATTTTACTATGTATTCAGCTTGTTTGAAACATAAACGCATCACTACTTTCATAAATGATACAAAATTAAAAAAATCTGAGTAAAATAATAGATATAAAAAGTCATAGTATATACCTAAATAACAAATGGAGGCAGATCTGAATTGCTCGAGAGAAAGTATGTAAGATCAATGAAGATCGATGAGGATATTGAAGCGATGGAAAACCGTAAAACTTTCGGTATGAATGATTTCTCCTATTTTTATCTCTTCTTACTCAACTCTTGAAAGAAAATTGCAAGGTAAATAGCAGAGAAAGTACCAGAAATTTCCTGAAATTTCATTACAATTATAACTGGTTTCTTTTTCTTAGTCTCTCTCCGTTATTATTTCTACTTTATCAAAAGTTGTTTGCCATTTCTCTTTATTGACTTTGACAATCACGTGTTACGCAATGAGAATCTTCGGGACGCGTTTTTTCTTTACTTTTAATTTATTGCTTTTAAGTTCATAAATAAAAATAAGTAAAAACCAATTAACAGGATTTTTATTCAAATTAATTTTATTAAATTATATATTTTCTATTGGACCAATAAAAATAATTGATCTATACAAAACATCAAGTAGTTTTGGAATTAGTTTTTTTTTCTTCTAGAGAATGGGCGCTTTGGCAAACCACTAATTGGTCCAGATCTGGTCATTAGTAACGACGAAAGAAATAGTCGTTGTTGACCGACAACGACGATCATATCTTTAACTGTCACTTCTTTAGTCTTTTCCAATCGTGACGGTCACATATGGCTGTAGATCTGGCATTTTTCGGCTAAATCCATAATAGATTTGGCCGAAAAAGGCCATAGCGAGGCCATATGGGTCAGATTCGACTGGCATGTGTCGTTACACAATTTTTCGGCCAAATTCCGACGGTAGTAGCCAGAATCTGGCACTGCGGATGTTACGGGTCTTTTTGTCATTTTACAATATTTTTATATATTGGGGTATTCATTAAATTAGCAAACTTATGGGGTTTTTTTATAAATTTTTAAATTTTATCTCATAATTACTCCTATATTCAATTATCCAATAATATCCTCAAAATCATATCCAAAATAATAAACCAAACGCACCCTTCAATATTCAAAGTTAAAGTTTTATAATTAATTAAACTATATTACTGGAAGGTAAAATAGCCTCCAAAATTTCCTCTAATACTTTTATTTTGTGTTAAAATAAATCAGCAATTAATTATTATTTTCAGCAACCATGACATAAAAAATTCAGTACAAGTCGGAATAGTGTTTTGATTTCAGATGGGTAGCTCAATAAGGTTTCATTTGATTTCTGATGGGTATGCTTAATTGCTTAATATTTTGTTGTGTGGTAAAAATCTCCAACCCGGACTAAGTAGAGGAGCCCGAGGCACGTCCTTGCAGGGAACAGCAAGCTCGGGACTTGAATAGAGATGGCAATGGGCCCGACATTTTCGGGTACCCGGCCCGGCCCGGCCCGAAAGGGGCGGGCTTTACCCGAGGTTGACGGGCTTGGGCTTGGGCCTGGGCTTGATTTTAAGGCCCGACCTCGGGTACGGGCCGGGCATGGGTACATCTTTAGGCCCGGCCCGGCCCGGCCCGGCCCGGCCCGAAAATTTTAGTATTAATTTTACTAATTTACCCTTATACTATATATTTAATTACAATATTATCCTATATATATATATATATATATATATCTATTTTTCCCAAACTCTAACCTCAATTTTTATTCCATATTGAAGGTTTAACATGTTAAAATTGTCTTTAAATGAGTTAGATGGGTTTGGTTCAACTTATAAAAGTGGATTTCACCATAACATATTATGCACAGCTGAAAAGTTAGTATAATCAAATATTATGGAGTTTTAATTGCTCAATTATTGCTTAAATTATTTGCAGAAATAGCTTCAATTAATATTTAAAAACTATTTCTAAAATTAAAAATAAAAAAAATTGAAATTTATTAATATTTAAAAATAAACATTATTAAAAAAGGCGGGCTTGGGCCGGGCCTATGGTTATAAAAAACCCGTCGGGCCGGGCTTGGGCTTTGCCTATCATACCCGTAGCGGGCTCGGGCCGGGCTTAGGCCTGTGTCATGAGGTCGGGCTTGGGCCTGGGCCAAGGGGTACCCGGTCCCGGCCCGGCCCATTGCCATCACTATGACTTGAAGAGCTTGGCAACAGGCGCGCAAGCAATCGGCCCGCATGCATGAACGTAAGGTGTGATGAGATCAAAAAAGGGGACCCACCATAAGAAACTATCTACTCACTTGGACATATCAACTCACCACTTATAGGTCACATACCCTGATAGAACAACACATGGCCATGCAAGCTCCATGTGCTCTCCATGCGGCCTAGCATACCTGTAGAGGCACCTGCTGTCAAAGGGAACATCCATCATTAGCTACAACATAGGGGTACGTCAGCTTTTGGCCACCGGTGACATCAGACAACCTGGCTGATGCACTCACCATCATGATCATCTGAAACTCTCTCTCTCCATATAAGAATGGCAGCAGCCCAAGGAGAGAGGGAGAGGGAAGAAAAGAAACAAAGGGGGACGAAAAACAAAAAGTTCACAAAAGCAACTTTCTCTAACCCCAGACCTTCGACTAAAAAAGCAAGCTGGAAACCTTTTTCCGACCACCAGAAAAACCCATCTGTTGTATCCCAATCTTATGCAAATAAATAAGATATCAATGGACATAGGCCTTATCCTCTTTCCAGACGAACCAATTTAAAAATGTCTAATTGTCTCATCATTTCTCGAGATCAGGCACATTACCACCTTGATCACCGCCACATGCGACATGGGTCCCTCATGCTGATTCCCCGGAATCACACACCCATCTTAGTAGGTTCTCTCCAGAGTCAACTGAGTACCTCTAGTTGACTTGTGTCTTCGTTTCAACGCTTTAGCTACTGTGAAAATTTGCATCAACATCCTGGCGCTAGGGGTGAGCACAGGTAGCAAATAGAACCGAAACTGGAATCGAAACCTACCTGGAATCGGTACTGTGTGGGTAGGTTTCAGTTCCAATTTTTTGGAATCGATATTGTGCGGTTCCGGTTCCGATTCTTGTGTGTGGAGGAACCGGAACCTGTAAAAAGGGTATCCTGTTTGGAACTGTAGGGGGTACCCGGTTTGGAACCTGAACTACAATGAAATGTTTGTGAAATGTGAATAATGGAGGGTTTCTATTATTTTACATATAAAAAAATTCTAAATAGAAAAAGTTAAATTTTTAAAATAACCTAACTAAATAAATATACGAATACAATTATATTTATTATATATAAATTACACCATATTAAAAGCTTTAATATATTTATAATACATTAATATTAAAATCTTGATTAATTAAGTGAATAATTGAAATTATGATCCAATTAAAAGTGTTTTACATTTTTAATGTTATTAAAATAATTATTTTTTAATAAAATAGTATATTTGAGTGAGTAATAATATATTTAGTTATTTACTTCAATTATTAAGTTATAAGTATATCTATAATAAATTAGTAATTAATTAATTATATATGATAAATTGATAAACATTAGTAAATTTAATTACTAGTTAAATATCATACTTAATAAGTTATAAAATTACATTATAATTAAATGATTACTTAATTAATTATAATTTTATAACATTACTTAATTGATTTATAGTATAATTAATTATAACATTACATTAATTGATTACTACTTAATTAATTGACTTATAAGTTATAACATTTAGTATATTACTTAATTAAATAATTAGAAATTTAATTAATTATAGCATTACATTATAGATTTATAATATAATTATTTAGTCAATTATAACATTTTATTATAAACATTAGTATAAACTTAATTAAATGATTAAAAATTTAATTAATTATAATATTACATTAAAAATTTATAGTATGATTACTTAATAGTTAATTCACTATAACATTACATTATAGTATGATTATATAATTAATTATAACATTACATAATTAAATGATTACTTAATTGATTATGACATTATATTATAAATATTAGTAATTACTAATTTACTACATAAACATTAGCATAATACTTAATTAAATGATTAGAAATTTAATTAATTACAACATTACATTATAAATTTATAGTACGATTATGTAATTAATTGTAACATTACATTATAATTAAATGATTACTTAATTAATTATAATATTTTATTGTAAACAAATTAATTATAATATTATATTAAAGACTTATAGTATGATTACTTAATTCATTGTAACATTTCACTATTTTATTATAGTATGATTAGTTGATTATATAATTAATTATAACGTTACATAATTAGATGATTATTTAATTGATTATGACATTATATTATAAACATTAATTATAACATTACATAATTAGATGATTATTTAATTGATTATGACATCATATTATAAATATTAATTATAACATTACATTATAAACAAATGATTACTTAATTAAATGATTAAAAATTTAATTAATTAAATATTATATTATAGTTAAATAATTACTTAATTAAATTATAACATTATTACATTACATTATATTATGATTGCTTAATTAATTATAGTATTACATAGTTAAATTATTACTTAATTAGTTATAAATTTATAACATCACATTATAAATATTAGTTACACAAATGAATGAATTGTGATGAATTGATTGAATTCAAGTGTTGCTTACAGATTACAAGTTATGAGTTACATTGGACACAAATGAATGAATAATCAAAATTTGTTAGGGGTGTATTTGTAAACTTTTAAGGTATTTTTGTTATTTTTTAAACTAATAGGGGGTAATTGATTTTTTATAGGGTACCCCGGAAAGGAACCGGAACCTGCATTTTAGGTTACGGTTCCTTGAATTGAAGAACATGTATTGTACGGTTCTGATTCCGGTTCTCCTGGAAAATGAAGGGCACCCAGAACTACTCACCCCTACCTGGCGCTAGAAGAAAGGCCTTCGCCCTTGAATGTCTTAATATAAGCCTGATTTAGTGCTGATCACCACCGCTATCGACGCTTTGTCCTTTTAGCAACAGTAATCGCCTCGATATCGCAGTGCATAGCAACCCAATCCAATCAGAGTCACTCTCGACCCACACAAGCACAATAATGAGCCTCCTACTGACCCAGTTGAGAAACTATGCGAGATCCCCATGGATCCCCGTTGAAGCGATGGAAAACCATAAAACTTTCTTGCTATAAATGATTTCTCCTATTTTTATCTCTTCTTTACTCACTCTTGAAAGAAAATTGCGAAGTAAATTGCAGAGAAAATACCAGAAATTTGGTGGAAATTTCATTGCAATTATCAACTGATTTCTTTTTCTTAGTCTCTCCATTGTTTCTACTTTATCAAAAGTCGTCTGCCCTTTTTCTTTCTTGACTTTGGCAATCATGTGTTTACACAGTGAGAATCTTAGGGGCGGCTTTTTTCACAGACCAATTACAAAGGGGTATTTATCTTGCAAAGTTATGATGAATTTGGTCAGTTATGGGCCTTGTAGAACTTATTGAAGAGAAATGATTTTTAGCTGTAGCTATTTTCTTGTTTAACCATCTTCAATTTTAAGTGAGGATATAATTGTAATAAAAAAAATTCTTCTTTCTCCATTTTTTTGCTTCAAAGCTGGATATTTACACCGCTCTCAAAAAAAAAAATTTAAATTAAATTAATCAAAATCAAAATCAATAATAAAGCATGAGACAAATCAATCAATATCGTTATCACATAAATATAGATTAATTTGTTTACAAAATCATAATTTCAATGCTCACAAGAGAAAAACCGAGTTTCATACCCATTAAAACAAAACCCTAGGTATCATAAATTCATTTATTGTACAAATATGAAATATGGATTAATTTGTTTTGAAATCACAACCTCAATAAGAATTCTAATTAAAACTCATCAATAAGAATCAAGCCCACAATGCCACAATTCTAAAGTTGTTTTTGGCGTTAGAGGCACAAACTAGTTTTGCCCTCACCAGAAAGTTCTAATTAAAGTACTACCAGTTAGGGGTGTGCAAAAATTTAGGGTAGAACGGGAACCGATAGGTACTTGGGGTTTTGGTTTTTGGTAAGAACTGAAACCGGCCCTCACAGGTAGGTTTCGGTTCTAAAAAATAACAACCGAGACTCCCTAGGTCTGATTCCTGCAGTACAGGAACCAAGAACCGGACTGAGTCTGGGTACCCTTTTAGGAATCAGTGTGGAACCGGGATTGGAAAATATCATTAAAACATAGGGGGTGTTATGTAATTTTACATATAAAAAAAAATCAAAAATCAAATGACAAATATGATTTATATTTTAGGGTTTGTAGTACGATTTGGGGAAGAATGAAAAAATCCATATCTTCTGTTCATCTACTATAATCTGCCGCTCGTCGCTTGTATTGTAGGTATTTATATGTAATTTTTAGTATAAAAATTCAAATAAAAAATATGAAAAAACACTTGGGCACTGCCTTCGAGAATGCCATTGTTGGAGAGAATAGAGAGGAAAACAAAGGCTTCGTTTGGTTCACATATTGGGAAAAATATTATAGTTTTCCCAAAAAAATTAACTTGATTTCACCAATTTTGAAAATAGTTTTCTAAATTATTCAATTTCCTTTAATCCCCTTAAATTTGTTAATTTAACTAAGCAACCCCCCAAAAAAATTTTAAAAACTGACAAAAACACCCCAATAACCCAAATTTACCAGATTCTGACCACCACTGCCGGAAGCTGGCCGGAATCTGATGTAATGACCCACTATCGACTGAATTTGGCTGGTAGTGTACTGATCTAGCCTTATCCGGCCAGATCTACATTGGATTTGGCAGAAAAAGATACGACTGTCTACGGCCAAAGATCTGGTCGTCAATGGCCAGATCTAGCCTGGCTAGATATGACATTTTCCGATCAGATCCATCGAAAAAGGCCATATCGACGTACGGCCGGCAAGATCGAGCTCGTCATACGCCTATAAGGCAACTCCAGCCACCCTCCGGCGGTGGTGGTCGACTGTCCGTATTTATGAGTGGATTGGGAGTATTTTTGTTAACTTTGAATATTTTATTATGGGGGTGTTTAGTAAATAAATAAATATAGGGGTATTTATGTTAATTTTTAAAATTCTATATCGTAATACCCACCAAATTTAATCTTTTTTAAAAGATTATTCTAAAAACTATTCAATAACAAACTAAACGCAGCCAAAAAGTTCGTTTTTGTGACGAAAAAGAAAATAAGAGATGGCTAAAGAGTGGAGAGAAAGCACGAGGAAAGAGAGGAGAGGTTGGGAAGATTTATACAAAGAGAAAGGAAAGCGGAGTTTCGGTCAAAATGAGTTGTACAAGAAAGCGAGAATATTTAATAAATATTTTATTTATTTTTTTTTTTTAGGGAGGAAAAATGCATAAAACAAAATAAAAGAAAGGAAAAGTAACAGAGTAAGAAACATGATTGTGTTTGTCATGAGTTGGTTTTCTTAGTGTTTGAACCATTGGATCTAACTTTTGTGGTTATGAAGGAGCATCGAAGGGTGATAAATTGAAGTAGAGGCAAGAATTAAAAAACAAAAATCAAGAGTCATAGACTCGTACACTCGTAGAAATGACAAGTGTAATAAGAGCTAGAGGTTCATCTTTTTACGGGTTTATTTTAATTTCTCCTATAAGATGATTTAGAATTAATTCATTCGCTTCATATTTTAAAACTATCAAAAATCCCTTAATAATAATTAAAAAATAAAAATATCATATAATCCCTTATAAAATTATTAAAAACCTGTTAATAGAAAATATTTAATACTTTTTAGACGATACAGATAAATTAATACTAAGGGATCTTAAAAGGGAGAAATTGAAATAAAACTTTCAAGTTAATAGATTAATTTAAAACAAATTTGTCTTCTAAGTTAATAGTTTAATTTTATTATCTCTAAGATATTGGACTATCAGTAGGTAATAAAAGAAGATAGAAGCAAGAATATTTAGGGGACGTTTGTTTTTGTATTTAAAAACTCAATAAAATTGAATTGGTTTATAAACTTAATACATCTTAATAGTTGATTAATAAAGCTCAACAATAATAAAATTATAGACTTTGAAGATTAGAAAATTATAAACTTTGAAGTTAAAAAATATATTGATGTGCAAGAAAAAAAAAAGTTATGTAAATAGATAGAGATGTAATTACAAATAATATATTCATACAATTCTTTGATAGTTTTGTAAAAATCTCTTCACATTTTTATAAAAACACCCTCATCAAATCTTAAACAATGATATTTAGCGGTTTCGATAATCCTCAAAAATCTGGATATTCTAATAATTTTGATGTTTCTCCAAGTATTTGACATCATTCATGTTACTCCACGTGTTTGAAATCACAGTAAGGGTAACTTTGTCCGTTTACTTTGAAAGTGTCATTTTTTAAAAATAAAACTCTACAAGTGGCTATTTTTCTAAAAATTTACGTTACTCAACCACATGAGTAAGGATAAATTTGTCCGCTCACTTGGAAACTGGTCATTTTTCAAAAATAAAACTCTACCGGTGTGACTATTTTTCTATACATATACCATTTACGTTACTCTTCAGTCTTCTCCACCATCAGTCAGCACAATCACGATGAGTAAGGGTAACTTTGTTCCTTCATTAAAAAAATGGTCATTTTTAGAAAATAAAACTCTTCAGATGTGGTTATTATTCTAAAAATTTACATTACTCGTCTTCTCCAACTTCGATTCAGCTCACAAAAATTCTCCATCAACAGAAGCTCGATGTAATTCCGTTAACTATTCACATTTCCTCTGCAACCAAATCGAACTGTGTTGAATTTGATTCTAGTAATTCTTATCGATCTTTTGTTAATATCTGCAACTTTCATTTCTGCTTAATTTCGTATTATTCAACTCACTCATTCTTGTTTCTAGATTCTTCAATTGTTTGGTCTTGAATGTACTAGATGTACTGACTATTGATAGTGTTACAGATTTTATATTTTGATTTGGTTCAATTTTGATTTTTTTTTTTTTATGCTGGATTTGATTATATATCAGTCAGGGAATTGATTAAAAGTCTATACATGCCACCAAATTTTGGTTGTTATTTTTTATTTTTTTATTTATAATATTGTTTGGTTTTAACTGAATCCAATAGAATAATGTTTCAATTTGTGATCTAAATGATTTTTTGCAGTGACTTTTTCACTATTGTTATAGTATTTTATCTGATTTATGGACTTTTTGTTTGGATTCAGTTTTTATTGTTTTATTTTTTATTTGATTAACGACAATAGATCAGTTGATAATTTTGAAGATATGTCGAGGGAATTTGTGCTTGTTGTAGGAAAAAAAAAAAAATTGTTTCTTCCATTTCTGCTTGATTTTGCAACAATAAACTCAGTATGCTTTCAAATTCTTGTCCATAGATTCAAGTAAGTGAAGCTGTTCTGTTTCGTCTTGTTCTTCACCATCTTTATGTGTTTGTTGTACATGAATTCCATATCAATTATCATGAGTTTGTCGGCAATTCAGTGGGAATAAATGTTTCAATTTTTTTTTGTTTTTTTCGCAGTGATTCTTTCTAGTGATAAAATGATGTTTTTTGGATTTTTGTTTATTATTTTGTCTAAATTCTTTTTATGTTGATTTGCTGATGTATCAGAAAGAGAGTTGATTAAAATCTATACAGCTCAGGACTTGAGATCCAAAACCCTTAATTCAAAATGGAAAAAGAAAATGGGGAGGAGGCTTCATTGTCGACTTTCCTGCCTCTTGCCTCCGCCTCTCAACAGCCTTATGTCTCTGAGCTCCTCTCATTCACTCTTGATCGCCTCCACAAGGTATGGAGCTGCTCAATTGGGTCTTAGTGGTTTGATTTCTTCTTGTTCATGTAATAAATTTAAGTTTTAATTGAAAGGAACCCGAGCTTCTTCGGGTTGATGCGGAGCGGATTCAGAGGCAAATGCAAGAGGTGGCTGTGGGAAACTACCGAGCATTTATAGCTGCAGCAGATGCGTTGCTTGCAATTCAAGAGGAAGTGTCTTCTATTGATAGGCATCTCGAGTCTCTGGTAATTTAAATTGTTGTTCACTTATGTAATGTAGGTGCATTTATGACTTTGATTCAGTGAATCTGATGAGTATATGAAGAACAGAAATATCCCATACTTATTTATCTTTATAAGTTGTAGTTTCATTCTATGAAAGATATCACCACAGATGGTCTGATTAGTCTTGCAGTTGTTTCCATGACTGAAGAATATAAATCTTTTATTTTTTATTTTTTGCATTTGCAGATAACTGAGATCCCGAAACTGACATCTGGTTGTACAGAATTCATTGAATCTGCTGAACAGATTTTGGAGAAAAGAAAGATGAACCAAACACTGCTAGCAAATCACAGTACTTTGCTTGACTTGCTTGAAATTCCTCAGCTTATGGACACGTATGTGTTTGAAAAAATTATGATGATTAGTGATTACTTCTTAAAATTGAACCAATAGCCAACATGCTCAAGGTTTCATATGGTGCATGCCATAAACACATCATAGATTTAATTTTCAAAACCATTCTTTCATTTTATACTATAACTTTTGGGTTTCATAAAGTTAATTTCCTTGTTTTTAATTGCTTAAAAGGAAGTTATCCAACTGGTACTGGTACATATGCTATAAGTTTATGATTTTCATGAGGATGGAACTTGCTTCGGTTGTTTATGGTTTGCTTGATTAACTTAAATGAAGCTTTCCTTGCTTTCTGACCAGTTCTTCATCTTCTTGATTTTTTTATATGGATCTTTTGTTAACAGCAAAAAGGGAATTTAAAATATCATGTAGGATCCTTATCGAGCTTATTTAGTTTATTGGAGTCTCTTGGCCCTACAGCTGACTTTTATTTAGAAAAGTAAATTCTGGTTTGTAATATCTGAAGGCATTGCTGTTGGGATCCCATTATAAGCAATACTAGGACTGTCTAAATTGTAGATACTTATGTGCTAAATCAAGGTTTAGCTTCATTTCTTTCCTTCCTTTTGCAGATGTGTAAGGAATGGAAATTATGACGAAGCTCTTGACTTAGAAGCATATGTTTGCAAACTTTCAACCATGCACCCCAAGTGAGTTTCTCTGTTACCCCCATATCAACTTATACCATTTTGGCTGTAAACTTAAAGCGATGTGCTTACTAAAATTTGGGTGTTCCCGTCCTGAAAGATTACCTATCATTCTAGCACTAGCTTCTGAAGTTAGGCAGACAACCCAATCTCTTCTTTCCCAGCTTCTCCAGAAACTCCGCTCTAATATTCAGGTATTATGTTGTTAAACAACGTGGAAATTATGAAACTTGACATAACTAGGTACATGGGTTGGAAATTTATATGTTTTTGTTGATGTATCTATGGATTGCAGTTACCAGAGTGTCTTCGAATTATTGGATATTTACGTCGAATTGGGGTGTTCAGTGAGTATGAAATGCGTTTGCAGGTAGATTTTCGAATAATGTTTCTTGCCAGTTGCTTCTCTCTGTTGCTAGGTGGTGTTAACTGCTCAGTGTGTGTGTTGTTGAATTTGGTCAAATGTTTCTCATAGGTAGACACATTTTATATATCTTTATCTGACCAGGAAGCTTTATTTTCAGTTTCTAAGATGTCGAGAGGCTTGGCTTACTGGAATTCTTGAGGATCTGGACCAGAAAAATGCTTATGAGTACTTGAAAGGGATGATAAACTGTCACAGAATGCATCTTTTTGATGTTGTTAACCAATATAGAGCAATATTCGCTGACGATACATCAGGAAGTGAAGAAAATTATGATGGAGGCCTTCTTTTTAGTTGGGCTATGCATCAAATTACTTCACACCTTAAAACTCTTAAAATTATGCTCCCAAAGATAACTGAGGGTGGATCTCTGTCAAATATTCTGGATCAGTGCATGGTGAGAACGTTACGCCGAATTTCTTAGCTCTGCATGTTTTCGATGTGTATGTACACACAATAAAAAATAATAATTTGCTAAAATTTTCTTTTTACTTAAAAAAGTATCTTTTTTTGTCTAAATGTACCAAAGCTGTTGATCCAAACCTTTCCAGCCTACTTGAGCATGTTTCCCAGATTATAAGCTAATTTTAGAGAACTTGACTATTGTAAGTCTTCCTACTTTGTGTTTTTTGCTTTAAAATTGAAAAATAAAAAATCCTTTTTGCGGCATGGTAATCTTTCTTGGTATGAAGTAAGACTTCATTTAGCTGTATTAGATCAGAAGTTTGACACCCTGAATTTATAGTGATTTTGTTCTTATGTGTTGTTGGCAGTATTGTGCTATGGGGCTTGGTTGGGTTGGGCTGGATTTTCGAGGCTTGCTTCCGCCACTATTTGAAGAGTAAAGCACAGCATCTTATTTAATTTTCGATGTCATGACATCTCTATTGACTTTTATCTTGTTTGTTCTATTGTAAAATTGGACTTGGGTGCTCTCCAGGGCAGTTCTCAACTTATTCTCGAAGAATATGAGTACAGCAGTAGAAAATTTTCAGGTATATGTGCAATTGGTAGATTTTAAATTTTTATAGTGCCCTAAAATTCTGTAGTTTACCCTTAATTAAAATGCAGTTATGAGAACAATAGGCTCTTGGCTTTCGTTGATTCAAGAAGTGTAGTAACATTTTGTCTTACTTGACTCCAGTTAGTTTTGGATTCACATCGATGGGTTCCACTACCAGCAGTTGGCTTTCCAGCCTCTAGTGTAGGTGAAGAAACTCAGGAAGATATGACTCCACCATCTTATCTAATGGAGCATCCACCTCTGGCAGTGTTTGTTAACGGTAAATTTGTCCTATTTTTTTCTGACTTTTTCCTTGCTACTAACAGTGCTAAATCTCCTTTTCTCAACTAAAATGCTCCCTTGTGAATTGGGATGCTAGTAATCTGCATATTTTTTAAAACATAGCATGGTAATTGAATTGTTTGGGTTAAAAATTTGAAGTTCGGAAATGGTATCAGTCTAAGTTTGGTATCTAGGCAAAATTACAGTGATCCAATGCTTTTTACACTGTTTGCTGCTTAAGATTTTTGTATAGACATAAACATTTTTTACTTCCATTGAAAATGGTCCAGCATCAAACACATAGCGAAAGGGAAATAAGTCAGATTTCTGAATCAGGAAAGTAGCATTACTTGGATTCGTTGTTGCTTTTGATTATAACGCGTAAAACCTTATTTAACTTGTTCTGTTTCGGAGGACTGCTAATCTCTTGCTGTTGCTTTCTCTCTCTGGGGTGATTTAGGTGTTGCCGCTGCAATGAATGAGTTACGCCCATGTGCCCCATTGAATTTAAAGAATGTGCTTGCTCAAGAATTGATTAAGGGGTTGCAGGCTGTATCCGACTCTCTATTGAGGTACAGTACAACTCGGATGCTTAGACAAAATGAATCTGGGCTTTTCCTCTCGCTCTGCCGCGCATTTATAGAGGTGCTATTTTTTACAAGATTATTAATCTTGGGTTTGTTTCTATAAGCCTTCTCGTTCTTATGAACTTGTTTCGCAGGTTGCTTACCCACATTGTGCCACATGCTTTGGGCGTTGTTACCCCGGTGGGGCTGTGCTTATCATGGATGCAAAGAATTTATATGATGGAGTTGGCCGCCTATTGACGCTCTCTCCAGCAAAAGAACTCCCCAAACCAGTGAGTGGTGGAGAGGGAAAGAGCATACCGGAAAACGGTAAACTTTCTGCAGAGGAAAATGGAGTTATGTCTGGTGTCGAAGAAGCACAAGGTAGCTGTGAGGACCAGGAGGAGCACAAGAGTCCTGTGAAGACCGAGGAAACCAAGGAAGAGTGAAAAGCATTTGTCTCTGAGCAATTAATTCTGTGAGAGTTATAATGTTTAGCTTTAGTAGGAATTGTGGCAGCACAAAATTTTGATAATTTGGTATTGTAAAATATCTAATTGATAATCTACTATACCTTAATTGAACTTATATAGTTACTATGAGGCAATTTGTAATAGAAATGTATGGGGTATGACATACCCCAAAATATCGATATTCATTGTAATAAAATACGCTTACAATTCTACTCAACTAAGTATGAAACCCGACCAGGACAGTATAAGGCTAACATAAAAGAAAGTATCTCCAAATTAAGGGGTCAAGAAAAATATTTCAAAGTTTTATGACCTCACCTAGTTTTTATTATGAAATTTGTAGTAATTGTAACTTCACTATAGCCACCGTTGAGTGATCGGGTGAGGTGATAGGGATTTTTTGGTGTATTGTTCAAGGGATCTTAAGTTTGATTTCTCTCGATTGTTAACAGGGATGGTCATTAAAGGTTTATCTGGTCTTTAACTTTAGGGTCTTTTATGTTTGCGCAAACTGGTTCGAACACCCCTACTCATAAAAAAAAATTTGTAACTTTACTATCATATTTAACTTCTTTTATCATGATATTCACTAAATTTTTTTATTAAGATATTGGGAAATAAAACAATTGACTATAGTTTTAAATTTAATTTAACTAACAAGTTTTAAATATAATCATTAAATATTAGTTATTTTAGAAAGCAGGTGAATGGAAATATAAACTTTTTTTATTATTTTTAATACCGTTGATTTAATTCATTGTAATTTGTGGAATAATATAATGCTAATTTATGTGTTTTTAAAAATAAATTTTCTTATGTTAAATGAAATTAGGAATTAATTAATTTACATGTTTAATTAATTACTAAAAATTATATTAAAAAAAAAAAAATGCTGTTTTGGGTCCACCGAAGCGGCCCAGTTCGACTCCTTGAGTGAAATTGAACAAAAACAAATGCTCTCGAATCTCAATCTACAAAACCCTTCGTCTTTCGACGATTCTTGAATTCTAATGAACAATCAGAATCCTTTCGGTTCTCAATCTTTGAAATCCTTAGTCTCTGCTTGATACCGGCAACCTGTTGTGACGTTTGTCGCCTCCACGAGTTGGTTTAACCAGGTATTCTTTTGTTTTTGTTTTTGTTTTTAATAATAAAATTTGTAATAATGTATGTTGTCAACTGGTAGAATTGCGATGATGTCGAGTATGATTTCATAATTTTGATGAATAATGATATTCATTTTTTCTTTCTAGAATCTTTTAGAGTTATAGCAAACAGAAAAGTAATCGAGTCCAAGTTTAGAGAAAATCGAGTTTAGGATCAATACAATCTGACATTATTTTGATGGTTTGCCTCTTCATGTGAAAGTTTTGTAATTCAATTTCATTAAACAGTGAAGCAGGGTAAAGGAACGAGGCCAAGTGAGCAATTGAATCCCTTGTTGCCTAAATTTATCATCGAACGCTGCTGAATTGGTAAGTCATTGGAGTTTCTCTGTTTCTGTGGTTTTTTGTGTGTATTTGTTTTGCTGATTTTGATAGTAAATCACTATGAAGGTGGAGACTAACTTTTGTAATCAAGCCGCCGTGGAGTACTTTAGGAAAATGCTAATAGTTGTTGGGATTCATGTGCCGATAAGAATGTATATTGTGTGTAGGTGGAGGAGAATGGACTGCTGGTTAGATTAGTGTTGTGAGTGAAGCTGTTAGAATTGCAGAGTGGAAGAGAGACTTGAATGCGTAGATATTTTATGTTGGATATTGGATTTTTCTTATGGCTATGTAGATGGTTTTGCTATTATTCTTCCCAACACAAAATTAATAAATAAATAAGTTGCTATTAGAAAATATGTCCAAGCAAATATGTGCATCAGAATGATAGATGTTGAGTGTTAGAACAGTGTTCAAGTTTGTAATGCAGTTTCAGTCTGATTTCTAAAGTAGATTGAAGCCTTTAGACATCTGTTAGGGAATCTTTATGGTTTTACTGATTGTGTTTTTAGAAATACTCCAGGAGATCTGACATAAGATACTTTTAAAGCTGTTCTAACAAGTACATAGTTAGATTTTTGTAAAGGTGTATATTTATGATAAGCTTGGTTTGGAGTTTATAGTAATTGGTTTTGTGTTAAGCTAGCATTCTGGCCCTTTGTATGTGTATAATTTAATAAGGATTTGAATTTTTGTTATACCCTAAAAGTAATTTTAGGGTACTAGTTGACTTATCTAGCTGGTGGCTTATATAGCAACTGTGCTTTGTTTTGTATTTGGAAATGTACCCAAACCTCTTTTTTGGATTGAAATTGTAAAATGTTTAATTTTAAAATTCTATATCTTGGATATTGTCAGATTTGTATTCTTTGTCGTACATGGAGGTGTTCAGTGAGTATGAAATGCGTTTGCAGGTAGATTTTCGAATAATGTTTCTTGCCAGTTGCTTCTCTCTGTTGCTAGGTGGTGTTAACTGCTCAGTGTGTGTGTTGTTGAATTTGGTCAAATGTTTCTCATAGGTAGACACATTTTATATATCTTTATCTGACCAGGAAGCTTTATTTTCAGTTTCTAAGATGTCGAGAGGCTTGGCTTACTGGAATTCTTGAGGATCTGGACCAGAAAAATGCTTATGAGTACTTGAAAGGGATGATAAACTGTCACAGAATGCATCTTTTTGATGTTGTTAACCAATATAGAGCAATATTCGCTGACGATACATCAGGAAGTGAAGAAAATTATGATGGAGGCCTTCTTTTTAGTTGGGCTATGCATCAAATTACTTCACACCTTAAAACTCTTAAAATTATGCTCCCAAAGATAACTGAGGGTGGATCTCTGTCAAATATTCTGGATCAGTGCATGGTGAGAACGTTACGCCGAATTTCTTAGCTCTGCATGTTTTCGATGTGTATGTACACACAATAAAAAATAATAATTTGCTAAAATTTTCTTTTTACTTAAAAAAGTATCTTTTTTTGTCTAAATGTACCAAAGCTGTTGATCCAAACCTTTCCAGCCTACTTGAGCATGTTTCCCAGATTATAAGCTAATTTTAGAGAACTTGACTATTGTAAGTCTTCCTACTTTGTGTTTTTTGCTTTAAAATTGAAAAATAAAAAATCCTTTTTGCGGCATGGTAATCTTTCTTGGTATGAAGTAAGACTTCATTTAGCTGTATTAGATCAGAAGTTTGACACCCTGAATTTATAGTGATTTTGTTCTTATGTGTTGTTGGCAGTATTGTGCTATGGGGCTTGGTTGGGTTGGGCTGGATTTTCGAGGCTTGCTTCCGCCACTATTTGAAGAGTAAAGCACAGCATCTTATTTAATTTTCGATGTCATGACATCTCTATTGACTTTTATCTTGTTTGTTCTATTGTAAAATTGGACTTGGGTGCTCTCCAGGGCAGTTCTCAACTTATTCTCGAAGAATATGAGTACAGCAGTAGAAAATTTTCAGGTATATGTGCAATTGGTAGATTTTAAATTTTTATAGTGCCCTAAAATTCTGTAGTTTACCCTTAATTAAAATGCAGTTATGAGAACAATAGGCTCTTGGCTTTCGTTGATTCAAGAAGTGTAGTAACATTTTGTCTTACTTGACTCCAGTTAGTTTTGGATTCACATCGATGGGTTCCACTACCAGCAGTTGGCTTTCCAGCCTCTAGTGTAGGTGAAGAAACTCAGGAAGATATGACTCCACCATCTTATCTAATGGAGCATCCACCTCTGGCAGTGTTTGTTAACGGTAAATTTGTCCTATTTTTTTCTGACTTTTTCCTTGCTACTAACAGTGCTAAATCTCCTTTTCTCAACTAAAATGCTCCCTTGTGAATTGGGATGCTAGTAATCTGCATATTTTTTAAAACATAGCATGGTAATTGAATTGTTTGGGTTAAAAATTTGAAGTTCGGAAATGGTATCAGTCTAAGTTTGGTATCTAGGCAAAATTACAGTGATCCAATGCTTTTTACACTGTTTGCTGCTTAAGATTTTTGTATAGACATAAACATTTTTTACTTCCATTGAAAATGGTCCAGCATCAAACACATAGCGAAAGGGAAATAAGTCAGATTTCTGAATCAGGAAAGTAGCATTACTTGGATTCGTTGTTGCTTTTGATTATAACGCGTAAAACCTTATTTAACTTGTTCTGTTTCGGAGGACTGCTAATCTCTTGCTGTTGCTTTCTCTCTCTGGGGTGATTTAGGTGTTGCCGCTGCAATGAATGAGTTACGCCCATGTGCCCCATTGAATTTAAAGAATGTGCTTGCTCAAGAATTGATTAAGGGGTTGCAGGCTGTATCCGACTCTCTATTGAGGTACAGTACAACTCGGATGCTTAGACAAAATGAATCTGGGCTTTTCCTCTCGCTCTGCCGCGCATTTATAGAGGTGCTATTTTTTACAAGATTATTAATCTTGGGTTTGTTTCTATAAGCCTTCTCGTTCTTATGAACTTGTTTCGCAGGTTGCTTACCCACATTGTGCCACATGCTTTGGGCGTTGTTACCCCGGTGGGGCTGTGCTTATCATGGATGCAAAGAATTTATATGATGGAGTTGGCCGCCTATTGACGCTCTCTCCAGCAAAAGAACTCCCCAAACCAGTGAGTGGTGGAGAGGGAAAGAGCATACCGGAAAACGGTAAACTTTCTGCAGAGGAAAATGGAGTTATGTCTGGTGTCGAAGAAGCACAAGGTAGCTGTGAGGACCAGGAGGAGCACAAGAGTCCTGTGAAGACCGAGGAAACCAAGGAAGAGTGAAAAGCATTTGTCTCTGAGCAATTAATTCTGTGAGAGTTATAATGTTTAGCTTTAGTAGGAATTGTGGCAGCACAAAATTTTGATAATTTGGTATTGTAAAATATCTAATTGATAATCTACTATACCTTAATTGAACTTATATAGCTACTATGAGGCAATTTGTAATAGAAATGTATGGGGTATGACATACCTCAAAATATCGATATTCATTGTAATAAAATACGCTTACAATTCTACTCAACTAAGTATGAAACACGACCAGGACAGTATAAGGCTAACATAAAAGAAAGTATCTCCAAATTAAGGGGTCATGAAAAATATTTCAGAGTTTCATGACCTCACCTAGTTTTTATTATGAAATTTGTAGTAATTGTAAATTCACTATAGCCACCATTGAGTGGTCGGGTGAGGCGGTAGGGATTCTTGGGTGTATCGATCAATGGATCTTAAGTTTGATTCTTCTCGATTGCTGATAGGGATGATCATTAGAGGTTTATCTAGTCTTTAACTTTAGGGTCTCTCATGTTTGCGCAAGCTGGTTCGAACACTCCTACTTATAAAAAAAAAAATTGTAACTTTACTATCATATTTAACTTCTTTTATCATGATATTCACTAAATTTTTTTATTAAGATATTGGGAAATAAAACAATTGACTATAGTTTTAAATTTAATTTAACTAAAAAGTTTTAAATATAATCATTAAATATTAGTTATTTTAGAAAGCAGGTGAATGGAAATGTAAACTTTTTTTATTATTTTTAATACCGTTGATTTAATTCATTGTAATTTGTGGAATAATATAATGCTAATTTATGTGTTTTTAAAAATAATTTTTCTTATGTTAAATGAAATTAGGAATTAATTAATTTACATGTTTAATTAATTACTAAAAATTATATTAAAAAAAAAAAAAAGCTGTTTTGTGTCCACCGAAGCGGCCCAGTTCGACTCCTTGAGTGAAATTGAACAAAAACAAATGCTCTCGAATCTCAATCTACAAAACCCTTCGTCTTTCGACGATTCTTGAATTCTAATGAACAATCAGAATCCTTTCGGTTCTGAATCTTTGAAATCCTTAGTCTCTGCTTGATACCGGCAACCTGTTGTGACGTTTGTCGCCTCCACGAGTTGGTTTAACCAGGTATTCTTTTGTTTTTGTTTTTAATAATAAAATTTGTAATAATGTATGTTGTCAACTGGTAGAATTGCGATGATGTCGAGTATGATTTCATAATTTTGATGAATGATGATATTCATTTTTTCTTTCTAGAATCTTTTAGAGTTATAGCAAACAGAAAAGTAATCGAGTCCAAGTTTAAAGAAAAACGAGTTTAGGATCAATACAATCTGACATTATTTTGATGGTTTGCCTCTTCATGTGAAAGTTTTGTTATTCAATTTCATTAAACAGTGAAGCAGGGTAAAGGAAGGAGGCCAAGTGAGCAATTGAACCCCTTGTTGCCCAAATTTATCATCGAACGCTGTTGAATTGGTAAGTCATTGGAGTTGCTATTTTGTAATCAAGCCGCCATGGAGTACTTTAGGAAAATGCTAATAGTTGTTGGGATTCATGTGCCGACAAGAATGCATATTGTGTGTAGGTGGAGGAGAATGGACTGCTGGTTAGATTAGTGTTGTGAGTGAAGCTGTTAGAATTGCAGAGTGGAAGAGAGACTTGAATTCAGAGATATTTTCTGTTGGATATTGGTTTTTCTTATGGCTATGTAGATGGTTTTGCTATTTTTCTTCCCAACACAAAATTAATTAATAAATAAATTGCTATTAGAAAACATGTCCAAGTAAATATGTGCATCAGAATGATAGATGTTGAATGTTAGAACAGTGTTCAAGTTTGTAATGCAGTTTCAGTCTGATTCCTGAAGTAGATTGAAGCCTTTAGACATCTGTTAGGGAATCTTTATGGTTTTACTGATTGTGTTTTTAGAAATACTCGAGGAGATCTGAGATAATATACTTTTAAAGCTGTTCTAACAAGTACATAGTTAGATTTTTGTAAAGGTGTATATTTATGATAAGCTTGGTTTGGAGTTTATAGTAATTGGTTTTGTGTTAAGCTAGTATTTTGGCCCCTTGTATGTGTATAATTTAATGAGGATTTGAATTTTTGTTATACCCTAAAATTACTTTTAGGGTACTATATAGCAACTGTGCTTTGTTTTGTATTCGGAAATGTATCCAAGCCTCTTTTTTGGATTGAAATAGTAAAATGTTTAATTTTAAAATTCTATATCTTGGATATTGTCAGATTTGTATTCTTTGTCCTACATGGAGTCTACAACCCAAACTGACTATGCTGCATTTGAAGAGAAGGTGAGACGGACAGTTTACCTTGACAACCTGTCACCACAAGTTACTGAATCAGTCTTGAAAACTGCCCTCAATCAGTTTGGGTCCGTACAGAATGTTCAATTTATTCCAAATTACTTAGAATCAAGGACTGCACAATGTGCTTTGGTGGAGATGAAGAACTTGAAGGAAGCCAAAGCTGTTATCTCAACTATGGGCGAATTCCCTTTCATGATATCTGGAATGCCTAGGCCTGTGAGGGCACGTGCTGCTAAAATGGAGATGTTTGATGATCGTCCAATTAGGCCAGGTAGAAGGATAAGTTGCCGATGGTTAGACCCTATTGATCCTGATTATGATGTAGCACAAAAGTTGAAGAGACTTGTCAGACAACATGATGCTCAATCGTCATTCCTGCTCAAGGTAAGTCTTGTTTCAGTACAATATTGACTGCATTTTCTTTTAGTTGTTTATTATGAACCTAACTTCAAATTTGTGGACCCGTTTCATTGCTCTAAATGGTTGCTGTCTCTTTGTAGCTACAACTGGCCCAGGAAGAGAAGCTCTCGAAGAACCAAGAAGCAGCTCTTAAGGCAAACAACAAGAAGTATGAGATGGTAGAAGCTGTCTTAGCTGATGGAACTGCTCAGCGTTTGGCACGTATATATGACGTACGAATTTCAGATGACTGATAGATTCTTCTCTTTTCTCAAGCCGGTTTCACTTACAAGCCATGGTTTGTACAGAATCTAAGATATGGCTTTCGAATCCTGCCTTCTGATTTTCATCACCATTTGGGCTATTTGTGTATCATGGTACACTTCACATTTTTGCCTAGGCCTTCCCAACAACTAATACAAATGCTTTCAGTAAAAGATATCTGATATGACAAAACTTGAAAGTAGAATCGAATTGTTGTTATATCTCATGCATCTTTCATTAGTTTCACACTATAGCGTTATAATTTCAACTGTGTTATCTCGTGAATGTGAATGTTTTACATATGATATGAATTCTAACTATTGATCCAGTAGACTAGGAGAAGTATGCTTCTCTTTTGAATACTTACATGATAAATTCATTTTCTTTTAGGCAGAGTTGTGGGTGTTCTTGAATATAATTGTTATAACTCATATTGTTACAAATTTACGAGATGTGATTATGGCAATTTATAAGGATATCTTGGCAGATGCTGATGTGTTGTTGGCATTCAAGAAGCCTGGTAATTGAACAAAGGGTACATTCATGAAGAAACATGTCTCTCTTTGTTGGCCCAAAGAGGGGCCTAAAATAGAGTATTTAAAATATGACTAGATCTATAGGCAACCCATTTTTCCATTTTTAAATAAATTTTATAATAACAAATTTATCTTATATAAAATTATTAAAAATAATTTTAATTTTTTATTGTGTACAAATACATTTGACATTCCCTTATAATCTCATAAACCCTCATTTTTTCTATGTTATTTAAATTATTCTTAGCGCAAAAAGGATGGTTTAACGAAGAAAAATGATTTGTAATGTGATATATCTAGTTATAAGAAATATAAAATTGTAAGTTTTTAACTGCTTTACTATAAATTTATTTTATTTTCAAAGTATTGGTAGCTATTATTATCTATGTATTTTGTGTTGTTTAATTGTATTATATTCTTGGGATTATATGTAAGCATTTTTTTTTTTTTTTAGTTTTAATTTTTTTCCCAACTTTCAATTTAGTTATCTAAAATTTTATTTTAAGAGTAACCGTAGTGGGGGTATAGCATAAGTGAATAAGTGGAGGGAATGAAATATTGACTTTAAAAAAAAAAAAAATTATATATATATATATAAAGGAATGAAGTGTATTAATGGAATTTATGGGGCGGTCATAAGAAATAATCTTAATTTTAAAACTTTAAAATGGGGTGTTTTGAGAAATGAGATTTCTTTAGTCCATTAGTAGGACACCAATAACTCCACTATTAAAATATAAATGTGTTATCATCGAAATTTTCACAATGAGGAGCAAATTGGAGATCGTTTTACATTGAATTTTTTTTTTTTTACTTGAAAATTATATTTAGTGACAGAAGATTGAAAGATTTAATAATTATGATTAAAATTAGCCATATATATATTTAACTATTAATTATTGGTGGAGTAGAAAAAATGGCAACATTAGTCTTGTGTAACAAATATATGTATTTTTAATGTAAATTCCAATTTTTTTTTTTTTTTAATGTACAATCACATACAACTTCGAGTTGGATGAGATTATCTTTACACAATTTTTTTGCACAAATGTGTGTCCAATGATTCAACGCGAATCAATGGACTTGACACATAAATTAAGGTAATTATTTTTAATGCTAACTCATAAATTATATCTCCTAACAACCCCTTAGTAGTCAAGTGGTTGAATAAGGATTTTTGGGTATATTACTTAAGAAATCCTAAGTTTGATTTCCTTCAGTTACTGATAGAGATAATTATTAGAAAATTACTTAATCGTTAATTTGTTGAAGTGTGCATAAACTGATCCAAACATCCTCAGTTAAAAAAAAAAAAAAAAAATTATCTCCACACTTGTAAAATAAAGGTTAACGGTAGGTATGATAGATTTATGTAAAAATTCAATAATTATCTATTTTACTCTATTTGTATTATATATATAATTAATTGCCATATTTTCTATTTATTTATAATTGAATCTTAAATAAATATCACATTACTTGGTATATACCCCGGGCATATACTTTAAATTTTACACTTATGTCACAATTTTTTTTTTTTTTTCAAATATTACCTCAAAATTGACTTCTCATATAAACCCAAAATTAAAAAATATTACAAAGAGACTTATTGGCTTTTCATTTTCATTCATATATTTGTCTTTAGGACATTTACACATTCATCATTGAGGTTTGACGTATATCCATCTCCCCCGTTATTATGGGATACGAACACTTTAGTCCTATTAGATGACTAACGTCAAAGTTGTTAGTCCACTTTTATAACATCGTAACCGTAAATCTAACATATTGACAAAATATACACTACAAATAGTCCTTACGCTGTTAAGAAAGTAGACCAACAACACTAATGTCAATCGTATGAGGAATTGTAATGTTTTTGTATCTCATAGTACTGGGCCAAAGTGCAACAAACCTCAAACCTTGGGATGAAAGGAAATATCCCTTTGTTTTTGTCTCGTTTAGTAAAAGGGTTCGTAAAAGAAAGAAAGAGAGAGAGAGAGAGAGGATCCAGCCTCACCCATTTCCAACCAATCAAAACTCTTCCCTGTATTTCTCTTGATGACTTACTTGATCTCTCCTTTCATATCCACTCTTTACATATACTCTCCCCCATATATTCTCACCTTCCAATCTCTTCATTTTTCTCCCTCTACTAATGCACTAAATCTACCCTTTAGGCCCTCATCTTCCCCATTCTTCTTACTTTCCCCCCTTCAAACTCCTCCATTCTTGTCGCTCTACCGCTTCAACCTCTCCATTCTTTCACTTCCACCCCCAAATGGCCACTAATTCCCTCCACTCTCTCCTCCTGAACCGCCACCATAACCACCTTACCCACCAAATTCCTGACTCCACCACCACCTCCACCGCCACCATCTTCCTCAAACCCACCTCCACCACCTCCCTTTCCTCCTCCTCCACCACCCCACCAAGAACCACAACTTTCTCTCTTTCCGCTACAACTTCTTCTTCCTCTTACACTTCTCCCACCTCCACCTTTCAACCCATCTCCTTCGACCTCCTCGAGCAACACCTCTCTGCCCAAAATTTCCGCCAAGCCGACGAGGAAACCCGCCGCCTCCTTATCGTCCTCGCCGGAGAATCCGCCCAGAAGCGAGGCTACGTCTTCTTCTCCGAAGTCCAGTTTATTGCAGCGGCCGACCTCAAAGCCATTGACGACCTCTGGAGACGCTACAGCGACAACAAGTTTGGCTACTCCGTTCAGAAAAAGATATGGCAAAAGGTCAAGAAAGACTTCTCGAGATTCTTCCTCAAAGCGGGATGGATGAAGAAGCTCGACACTGAAGTTGAGCAGTACAACTACAGGGCGTTTCCGAATGAGTTCACGTGGGAGCTGACGAAGGAGACCCCTGAAGGGCATTTGCCATTGACAAATGCATTGAGAGGGACGCAGTTGCTGAACAGTATTCTGAGCCATCCGGCGTTTGAAGGAGTTGAAGAAGAAGAAGCAGAACAAGCAGAAGGAGAAGGAGATAATGGTAAATTTGGTGAAAAGAATAAAAATGGGGTGGTCAAAGATGGGTCAAAGGTTAGTGTTAAGACTGTTTTTAAACCAAATTATGGCTTTTGAGACTGAGAGTTAAAGATAACTTGATTGTGAATTTTAGAATTAATATTTCTTTAAACAAAGAGATAATGGAGTTGTGAAAGTGGTCTACATAATGGAGATGTCATTTACACTTTCCTGTTGTTTTTTTTTTTAATTTTTAAGTTTTCTTTTTATGAGCGGGATAATGACTGGGTGATCAGACCCATTTATGCGCACCTCAATTAATTCATAAGATTCATTGGATAATCTATAAATTTAATGTTTCAAAGTAAGCCATAAATATAATAGGTGATTATAATCCTCAAGACTCATTAAACACTCTACAAACTTAATATTTTAGGATAAGTCACAAATGTAATAGATGAATATAAGTTAAATCAAACCCAAAAATCAATTAAAAGAGCAAAACCTTCTTGGCCGAACCTTTGGAGCTACTTTCCTCTTATTGTTGGCCCTAGCGGAGGGTACCAAAAAACACACACAAAAGTGTGCCCCACAACCAAATATGGTGCTTAAATTATGGTGAGAAGCAAGACAAGTCTTGTTTGTTTTTATTGCTTACTTTCTTGTGGCTAGTAATACATTCCCTTTTGGAACATGTTATATTTACCAATAAATCTCAACCAAATCATCCTAATTATACTTGTACCCTTTCAAAATAAGACATACATTAGCACTAGGGTAACGTTACACCGACCGAACGACCAGATTTTAATAACGTTACCCTAATTTGTCATTTTTTGTTTGGGTTAAGTGGAGGAATCAAAGTAATTTGGAAGTGACAGAACACATATGCTTTTCTTTTGTCGTTTGCTTTGGGAATACATACAAATGAAATTGCCTCTCCAAGCTTACATTTTATATAGAAGGGCCAAAAACACCAAATGGAGACATCAAATTTAATCAAAAGAAGAAAACAAAGTGTACAATAGAACTATAACATCAAAATTTACCACTCAGTAATATTATCTAGTCAATAATTATTATGAGATTAAATTTTTAATAATACATAATATTTGAATTCGATATTGTTACTATATATATATTGATGACTTGGGATATTCGGACCAGCTTATGTACACTTCAACTAATTTTTCGAGACTCGAAAATTTCTGCTCGGATAAGAGCTTTAATAGCTACCTCTATGAATACCCAATGAGAGACTCGAACTCAATACTTTTTGAATAATATACCTAAGAGCCCCATCGAACCACTCGACCACCTAGATATAGTTTTCATGTATAGTATTGCTAAACACCTTACATTTTTTTTCTTCAAAATAACAAATTATATTGGATATTACCACTTTAAAAAACCAATAAGTAGTTACCATTTTTAACAATTTTAAATCATTACAGTCTCCCGGGACTCTAATACAATAAAAAAAGGGAATAATTGAAAGTAATTTTCTTGTATTTAATAGCATTCTTTTGTTGTTCAATGCGTAAAAATGGGTGCATTTAGAAAAACAAAGTTCTAATTTAACAAACTCATTATGATTCATAGGAATTATTAGATACAACTCACTAGTTTCTTTAAGTAAATCCACATTGTTAATGATAATACGTTTAATCATCCACTAATTCTAAAGTTAAATAATAATACTGTAATACCTTTAACCATCCACTTATTCTAAAGTTAAAGTAACATAATAAAGAATTGTTAAACTAATCAATATTAAATTACTTTCAATCAATGCACTCCTCACGGGTTAATTAGTTTGAGTCTACTGACAATTCAGGACACCTTTATTTTCAACTGACAAGATAAATCCTAACATGCCCTTTACCTGTTAGTGTTACCCTCACGTCTGTCAAGTTCGAGGACGATTTTGTTAGTAAAAAAATAATTGTGTTCTTGACTTGATAGACCAAAACCAAAAGGACTAAAAATAGTAATTTGATATTTTAACATATTATTCCATTCAATCCAACAAAAAACACTCCACACAATAAGGATTCCATTTCTTTTCACTATTAGATTGATATGAATGAACGATATATTACTAAATGGACTAATTCTATAATTATTTTCAAAAAATAATAAATGCAATTTAATTTTAAACCCCACGTAATATTGCCGGCGTCAACTTAGCTAATTCTAATATCAAAGGCCTGTCAAATGCAAAAACTGGGTAAAATCACAAAAACCTCAGTGGTTTAAAATAATAAATGGAAGAACAGACTTGACATTTGACAAACCATTAATTAATTAAATCAAGAAAGAGATACCAAGCCAGCATGTACACCAATCGCTTCAAAATTGGTGAAACGTACATGCATTCGCTGCACTTTTGTATGTATATACGACCAATCAAGAGACTTTAGATCAACATATATGTAATCTACACGCTCTGTGATTGGCCCAAATACACATGCATTTGTTGCAACCAAAGTTTAGTTTCTCTCATCTACGGGAGGCAAAAAACTTTTGCTCAACAGATGCATATACAACCAATCAATAATGAAGCTTGTGTACAACACATGCGCTAACATAACATACAGTCATTAATTATGAGTACATCCGTTGCACAAAAGTCTTTTTTTGAGGAGAGATTTGAGTTATACTTTGCGAAACTTTTCACCCTATTACTACCCCTAATCTTAGGGAGGTTCAAGTATCTGCCCATTATGTTTAACAATAAAGTTTTAAACATATGGTAAATACATTTCTCTTCTCTAGCCCTTCTTGGAGTCCCAAATAACGTACGAGTAAATTTCATCTACATTGCACAAAATATTTTACAGCAATATTACAAAAATGATAGCCTAAATAATGATTACAAATATTACAGCAATATCTTGGATTAATTTTTCATCTAGAAACAAAGCATTGTAATAGTAACTGTTTGCAATAATTGACCATATATTATACAAACTTCACCAACATGCCTCATATCTAGAACCCTGAAAGATTTTTCAATGCACATATATCAGGGATAATGAATGATACTAAACATACTAAATAAATTCTTGAAAATTGATCTTTCTAAAACAGTTTAAGGAACTTTTTTAAGAGTAATTTAAGCTTGACCGATCAGAAAATATAAAGAAATCTTGTTTTGTTATGTGTTTGAAAAATAAGATATATGAAACACACTTTATTTTCTGAAGGCTAATGTTAAACTCAAAAATATTTTACCCTATATGTGAAAAATGTGATTTAGAAAATACGACGCTCTTTTTACTTGAGAATATAAAATTCAACAGCTTGTTATCGTATTACAAGACAGTTTTAGTTCCTAGAATGAGGAAGAGATGCATGAACTTTATAATCTTTAGTCAAGACCCACTGCTATAGGTACACAAATCTACATGAAACTTTAATGCTGATACAGTAGGAGACTATTTTGATAAGCACAAAAAGAATCTAAAATCCAATACATGTATTCAGGGAGCCAATAGCTTACCAAGTAATGCACTATGCGCAGGGGCAAAGTCTCCTTGTATGTCGATGTGAACCATCACAAGAAAGCATTGCTTGTGTTCGAGTGTACAAGCATGCTGTGGGATTCTGAAAGAGAAGGGAAAAAATGCAACACTCAAATTTAAACCTATTTTTGCTACTTAAACTTTTATAGGATGTTTCCATGCATAAGCAAAATAATAAAAACTAGAAACTAGTGTAATAACTCTGTAGTAATCATAATCCTTCTCCACCATGATGATTGTTCAGTGCACATCTTTCACGATCAAACGAATAATTCTCATTAATTCTCCTTTAAAATACAATTCCAGACCAAAAAAAAAAAAAAAAAAAAAAAAAGCCCAATGCAAATGAGGAATTATACCAAAGGGCTGGGGGATCATCAAAATCTACTTCAGCAGGTTGATCTGCTCCCATGCTTGCCAAACATCCTCCTTTGCAACTGAAATACTTTTGGATACTGTTTGGTCAAAAGAAAAAAAGTAAAAGAATAAAGAGATGAGGAACCTGATCCAAATATAAATTATAAAATAATCTGAAAAGTAGAAGCAAGAAATTTCTGAAAAATTTCAACAAGCCACAATTTCATTGTATTCCAACCTCTGGTATCTTTCTTAATAATGCTTAATTAACAATTTATCAACTAAGGAAGATCAGTCATGCATCATTCAATATGGTACAGCATTTGAAGGAAAGAAAAAACAGAGACGTCAACACAATTTTTAATAGGTTAAACCATGTTATGCTTCAAATCTAATATCAAGCTCACGTGATGATTTAAATCCCTTCAAAATGCAACATTACAGTTAGCATATGTTATGTACTGCAAATAAAATGTTATCAAATCCATAGGAACAACCAACTAACCCCTTTAAAACAATTAACCTTCACACAAAAGAGAATGCTATTAAGAAAAGAAAAAAAAAGCTTTTGCCTATTTACCTAGAAAAAGGGAAAAGGAAAGAAAATAGGTATATTTTATAATTAAGAAAAAAAAATGTAAGAGAATCAATCACGATGAAATTGTAGAGATTAATCAATTCAAATAACATAGACCATAAAGTCCAATAATTCCTATATTTCAATTACTGAAAGTAAACAGTACCAGAGATGTTTCTGCTACAAAATTAGAAGTTAATACAATAAATGTATTTTAGAGAAAAGGAAATAAGTAACAGAGCAGAACTTACATATCACATTGATTAAGTAACAGAAGCTTATTTACCACACAAGACTGTCCTTTTGATTTGCATACTGAATCACAAGAATCACCTTGCCTAACAACCAGATAAAGAGAGTTGAAGCGAATCAGTTATATATACATATTAAGTGTAAATGAAGGAAAAAAAATAAAATAATATGAAAACTCCACTCACCTTCCGATAAAAACATTAATTCCATTCAGCCTGGTTTCTAGCTGGGTTACACCAGGCCCTGCACAATGAAAATTTACTTACACCATTTAGTTCTTCTAAAAGGTTATCATTTTTATTTAAATAGAATAAATATATAGCACCAAGAAAATATTAAGAAAATTGTTGCACAAGCAGTAGAATAATTGTATTTATTTATATATTTACATAGAATTATATCAACTTAGAAACTTTATTATCATTTATATTTCATTTGTATGGATCAAACTTAGTCCTTATAAATAGTTAAAGGCCCTCTCCCCCAAATATCATTAACAAACACCCAATAACAAAATAAAACCATCGATTACATAGTGGTTGTATATTATATGCATCAATAGTCAATGAAAACTTGGCTTTAAATTGATTTGAGTTTTTAGCAGGATACTGAACATATTTTGCAACAAAAATTCATATCTAGACTGACCTGAAGAATTTGACTGCAGTGAAAAGCAATGATGAAAATCACTAAGATAAGCATTTTCATGAACCTGAAATATTCAAACTCATTTAGATATTAGAATCATAGATCATAAAACAGACCATAAACTACAAATTGTTGTGTTCACATTTTTGTAGAAGGTGAAACATGAGTTAACCAACAGCTAGTGAGACAATTTGAACTCATATCTCTACCACAAAGCCAGGATGCTAGTGCCACAATATATATATATATATTAAATCACAAAAATAAAGTAAAGACAATAAAAAGGTCACATTATACCATGATCCTCAGATGCTAAAATCAAAGATCTAAAACATATCAAACCCATATTTATAACATCAACAGATTGCTTAAAATTGCTAATTAGGTAATTATAGGATGCTTTTAATAGTTACTCTCACTTCACTCCAACCTCCAAGAAATGTTCAGAGAGACAGTAAAAGAATACAACTAGCTAATTGCTGTTATGAATCAAGAGCTGCACTGTCAAATTATGTACAATAATCAGCTTGTGAAAATTTTTCTGAGTTCTTACTAAGCAGATATCCTCAATTTACATATTTTAAAGATGGACCAACAAACTTTAATCATTTTATATATGATATTCACCTCATTTCTGAACACAAAAATAATCATTTCAAGTTTAGCATTCATGAAAAAAAAGAATGGTTCCATGCATGTTCATAGTAGTTGCAATCCAATAGATGGTCACCAAGTACTCTAGCAGGAAGTAACTACATAATTCAGTTCACCAAGGACCAGATTCATGTTTTTTGTTCTATCTTTCTCAGGAGCACTATCCCTGCTCCACTTCTGGCTAAACATAACATCGTATATTGTCTGATTAATTATTGAAGCATTCACTAGATTGAAGTAATAACACTTACCACACTCTCAGAGTTATGACGACACCTCCCAGCACAAAAATCAAAAACACTTTGAAAATTTCCTGCCAGAAGAGAAAAAAGAACAAAAAATGAGATAACTCTTATCCTTGCAGATATTCCAATTAAAAAGGTGGTTTGTAAAGAAATCTAAGCTCCACTTATTCCTTATCATGTCAGCGCATGCAGAAAAACAACTACTTCAGAATTAAGATTCCAGAAATTGCCAAAAACCAATCTGAAATATATATATATATGTTACGGTTCAATTTTTCTGTTTAATGCCACATCACTTACATGCAACCATCAGCTTCAACAGAAAATTAAGACTGAAATTTCTCTAAGATGATATCTAACAAGTAGCCACTATAGTGCCTGAAGGGAAACCCCAGAAGCTAATGCTTTCTGAAGAAAATAAAAATTGTTGTCTACCACAATCTAAGAATTTACCAGCAGTTGCAGGCTTAGCTATCTTCATCTTCAGCACTTGCTCTTTTTGTGTCTGCAAGTTACAATCCAGCAATAAATTCCATTTAAATATTATATGATTTAACATCAAGAAGAACAAAAACAATAAAACCAATTGAGTAGTCAGAACAATACTCGTGCAGGATTAACACAGCATGAAACACAAAATTCATAAGAGTTGCAACACTGTGAAAGAAGATTGCATCCCCTGCAAACAACGGTAAATCATTTCAATATCATCAGGTACTCATGGTCAAGTTCAGCATCTCAGAGGCCAGCTTAGGAAAAACTCACTGACAAGAGAATTTCTCTCCTTTCACAGGACAGCAGCGAGACTGCGGATCCACTGATAGAGCATCACATACATATCCTACAATGTAAATAATGATTAAGTAACAAAGAGAATCAAAGAAAACATACAATGCTGCAGGCTAGTAAGAAGCAATCTCAAAATGAATCTATAGCTAAAATTAGAACTGTTACAGACCATTGGACACGGTACTGTTACAGCATTTTGAGCATGTCTCAAAAAGCTGAATTTATATACAAATTAAACTGTAAATTGATTGACAACTTAAAAACCACAATACTTAGACGTCAATTCAAGTAGCATGATAAAGATTACTTCAAAAACAAAGTGTTTAGCCATAATAATGGAGGAATCGCAAGCATTTTTCCAATATTCGCAACGAAAATACAAAGCAAGAAATTGAAATCACTCACCGTTATCATCAGACAATAAATATCTTCCTTGAACAGTGGTTCTACACAAGGTTTTCTCTCGAAAGCCAATATTATCCCTGTAATTCACAAAAGAGAAGTGAAAAAGAAATGCAAACTTAAAATTTTCTTTTCCATTTTCTCGAGAAACAAACAAAAAGAGAAACACGAAATTTGAAATTGAGAGAAGATTCTTTGCGTATGGAGAGAGNGATAGGCAATTGTAAGTTAAATCAAACCAAAAAATCAATGAAAGGAACAAAACCTTGGCCGAACCTTTGGAGCTACTTTCCTCTTATTGTTGGCCCTAGAGGAGGGTACCAAAAACATACACAAAATTGTGGCCCACAACCAAATGCGGTAATTAAATTATGGTGACGAAGCAAGACAAGTCTTGTTTGTTTTTATTGCTTACTTTCTTGTGGCTAGTAATACATTCCCTTTTGGAACATGTTATATTTACCAATAAATCTCAACCAAATCATCCTAATTATACTTGTACCCTTTCAAAATAAGACATACATTAGCACTAGGGTAACGTTACACCGACCGAACGACCAGATTTTAATAACGTTACCCTATTTTGTCATTTTTTGTTTGGGTTAAGTGGAGGAATCAAAGTAATTTGGAAGTGACAGAACACATATGCTTTTCTTTTGTCGTTTGCTTTGGGAATACATACAAATGAAATTGCCTCTCCAAGCTTACATTTTATATAGAAGGGCCAAAAACACCAAATGGAGACATCAAATTTAATCAAAAGAAGAAAACAAAGTGTACAATAGAACTATAACATCAAAATTTACCACTCAGTAATATTATCTAGTCAATAATTATTATAAGATTAAATTTTTAATAATACATAATATTTGAATTCGATATTGTTACTATATATATATTGATGACTTGGGATATTCGGACCAGCTTATGTACACTTCAACTAATTTTTCGAGACTCGAAAATTTCTGCTCGGATAAGAGCTTTAATAGCTACCTCTATGAATACCCAATGAGAGACTCGAACTCAATACTTTTTGAATAATATACCTAAGAGCCCCATCGAACCACTCGACCACCTAGATATAGTTTTCATGTATAGTATTGCTAAACACCTTACATTTTTTTTCTTCAAAATAACAAATTATATTGGATATTACCACTTTAAAAAACCAATAAGTAGTTACCATTTTTAACAATTTTAAATCATTACAGTCTCCCGGGACTCTAATACAATAAAAAAAGGGAATAATTGAAAGTAATTTTCTTGTATTTAATAGCATTCTTTTGTTGTTCAATGCGTAAAAATGGGTGCATTTAGAAAAACAAAGTTCTAATTTAACAAACTCATTATGATTCATAGGAATTATTAGATACAACTCACTAGTTTCTTTAAGTAAATCCACATTGTTAATGATAATACGTTTAATCATCCACTAATTCTAAAGTTAAATAATAATACTGTAGTACCTTTAATCATCCACTTATTATAAAGTTAAAGTAACACAATAAACAATTGTTAAACTAATCAATATTAAATTACTTTCAATCAATGCACTCTCACTGAGTTAATTAGTTTTGAGCCCCCTGACAATTCAGGACACCTTTATTTTCAACTGAAAGATAAACCTAACAGCACCTTTACTGGTAGTGTTACCCTCACGTCTGTCAAGTTCGAGGACGATTTGTTAGAAAAATAATTGTTCTTGACTTATAGACCAAAACCAAAAGGACTAAAAAAGTCTTTGGATTTTTAACTATTATTCCATTCAATCCAACAAAAAACACTACAGAAAAGGATTCCGTTCTTTTCACTATTAGATGATAGAATGAACATCTAAAATGGACTAATTTATATTATTTAAAAATAATAATCAATTTAATTTAAACCCCACGTAATATTGCCGGCGTCAACTTAGCTAATTCTAATATCAAAGGCCTGTAAAGCAAAAAACTGGGTAAATCACAAAAACCCAGTGGTTTAAAAATAAATGGAAGAACAGACTTGACATTTGACAAACCATTAATAATTAAATCAGAAAGAGATACCAAGCCGCATGTACACCAATCGCTTCAAAATTGGTGAAACGTACATGCATTCGCTGCACTTTTGTATGTATATACGACCAATAAGAGACTTTAGATCAACTATGTAATCTACACGCTCTGTGATGGCCCATACACATGCATTTGTGCAACCAAAGTTTAGTTTCTCTCATCTACGGAGGCAAAACTTTTGCTCAACAGAGCATATACAACCAATCAATAATGAAGCTTGTGTACAACACTGCGCTAACATAACATACAGTCATTAATTATGAGTACATCCGTTGCACAAAAGCTTTTTTGAGGAGAGATTGTGTTATACTTTGCGAAAACTTTTCACCCTATTACTACCCCTAATCTTAGGGAGGTTCAAGTATCTGCCCATTTGTTTAACATAAAGTTTAAACATATGGTAAATACATTTCTCTTCTCTAGCCCTTCTTGGAGTCCCAAAAACGTACGAGTAAATATCTACATTGCAAAAATATTTTACAGCAATATTACAAAAATGATAGCCAATAATGATTACAAATATTACAGCATATCTTGGATAATTTTTCATCTAGAAACAAAGCATTTAATAGTAACTGTTTGCAATAATTGACCATATATTATACAAACTTCACAACAAGCCTCATATCTAAACCCTGAAAGATTTTTCAATGCACATATATCAGGGATAATGAATGATACTAAACATACTAAATAAATTCTTGAAAATTGATCTTTCTAAAACTTAAGTTTTTTAAGAGTAATTTAAGCTTGACCGACAGAAAATATAAGAAATCTTGTTGTTGTGTTTGAAAATAAGATATATGAACACACTATTTTCTAAGGCTAATGTTAAACTCAAAAATATTTTACCCTATATGTGAAAAATGTGATTTAGAAATACGACGGCTCTTTTACTTGAGAATATAAAATTCAACAGCTTGTTATCGTATTACAAGACAGTTTTAGTTCCTAGAATGAGGAAGAATGCATGAACTTTTAATCTTTAGTCAAGACCCACGTATAGTACAAAAATCTACATGAAACTTTAATGCTGATACAGTAGGAGACTATTTTGATAAGCACAAAAAGAATCTAAAATCCAATACATGTATTCAGGGAGCCAAAGCTTACCAAGTAATGCACTGCGCAGGGGCACAAGTCTCCTTGTATGTCGATGTGAACCATCACAAGAAAGCATTGCTGTGTTCGAGTGTACAAGCATGCGTGGGATTCTGAAAGAGAAGGGAAAAAATGCAACAACTCAATTTAAACCTATTTTGCTACTTAACTTTTATAGGATGTTTCCATGCATAAGCACAATAATAAAAACTAGAAACTAGTGTAAAACTCTGTAGTAATCATAATCCTTCTCCCCATGAGATTTGTCATGCACATCTTTCACTCAATCAAACGAATAATTCTATAATTGTCCTTAAAATACAATTCCAGCCCAACAAAAAAAAAAACAAAAAAAAGCCCTATGCAAATGAGGAATATACCAATGGCTGGGGGCTCATCAACACTTCAGCAGGTTGATCTGCTCCCATGCTTGCCAAACATCCTCCTTTGCAACTGAATACTTTGGATACTGTTTGGTCAAAAGAAAAAAGTAAAAGAATAAGAGATAGGAACCTGATCCAAATAAATTATAAAATAATCTGAAAAGTAGAAGCAAGAAATTTCTGAAAAATTTCAACAAGCCACAATTCATTGTATTCCAACTCTTGGATCTTTCTTAATAATGTAATTAACAATTATTCAACTAAGGAAGATCAGTCATGCATCATTCAATATGGTACAGCATTTGAAGGAAAAAAAAAAACAGAGACGTCAACACACATTTTTAATAGGTTAAACATGTTATGCTTCAAATCTAATATCAAGCTCACGGATGATTTTAATCCCTTCAAAATGCAACATTACAGTAGCATATGTTATGTACTGCAAAAAAATGTTATCAAATCCATAGGAACAACCAACTAACCCCTTTAAAACAATTAACCTTCACACAAAAAGAATGCTATTAAGAAGAAAAAAAAAGCTTTTGCCTATTACCTAGAAAAAGGGAAAAGGAAAGAAATAGGTATTTTATAATTAAGAAAAAAAAATGAAGAGAATCAATCACGATGAAATTGTAGAGATAATCAATTCAAATAACATAGACCAAGTCCAATATTCCTAATTTTCAATACTGAAAGTAAACGTACCAGAGATGTTTCTGCACAAAATTAGAAGTTAATACAATAAATGTATTTTAGAGAAAAGGAAATAAGTAACAGAGCAGAACTACATATCACATTGATAAGAACAGAAGCTTATTTACCCACAAGACTGTCCTTTTGATTTGATACTGAATCACAAGAATCACCTTGCCTAACAACCAGATAAAGAGAGTTGAAGCGACGCAGTATATAACATATTAAGTGTAAATGAAGGAAAAAATAAAATAATATGAAAACTCCACTCACCTTCCGATAAAAACATTAATCCATTCAGTGGTTTCTAGCTGGGTTACACCAGGCCCTGCACAATGAAATTACTTACACATTTAGTTCTTCTAAAAGGTTATCATTTTATTTAAATAGAATAATATATAGCACCAAGAAATATATTAAGAAAATTGTTGCACAAGCAGTAGATAATTGTATTTATTTATATATTACATAGTTATATCAACTTAGAAACTTTATATCATTTATATTTCATTGTATGGATCAAACTTAGTCCTTATAAATAGTAAAGGCCTCTCCCCCAAATATCATTAACAAACACCAATAACAAAATGAAACCATGTACATAGTGGTTGTATATTATATGCATCAAAGTCAATGAAAACTTGGTTTAAAATGATTTGAGTTTTTAGCAGGATACTGAACATATTTTGCAACAAAATTCATATCTAGACTGACCTGAAGAATGACTGCAGTGAAAAGCAATGATGAAAATCACTAGATAGCATTTTCATGAACCTGAAATATTCAAACTCATTTAGTATTAGAATCATAGATATAAAAAAGACCATAAACTACAAATTGTTGTGTTCACATTGTGAAGGTGAAACATGAGTTAACAACAGCTAGTGAGACAATTTGAACTCATATCTCTACCACAAAGCAGGATGCTAGTGCCACAACAATATATATATATATATTAAATCACAAAAATAAAGTAAAGACAATAAAAAGGTCACAATACCATGATCTCAGATGCTAAAATCAAAAATCTAAAACATTTCAAACCATATTTATAACATCAACAGATTGCTTAAAATTGCTAATAGTATTATAGGATGCTTTAATAGTTACTCTCACTTCACTCCAACCTCCAAGAAATGTTCAGAGAGACAGTAAAAGAATACACACTAGCTAATTGCTGTTTGAATCAGCGATGCACTAATTATGTACAATAATCAGTTGTGAAATTTTTCTGAGTCTTACAAGCAGATATCCTCAATTTACATATTTTAAAGAGGACCAACAAACTTAATCATTTTAATATGATTTCTCATTTCTGAACACAAAATAATCATTTCAAGTTAGCATTCATAAAAAAAGAATGGTTCCATGCATTTCATGTAGTTGCAATCCAATAGATGGTCACAAGTACTCTAGCAGGAAGTAACTACATAATTCAGTTCACCAAGGACCAGATTCATGTTTTGTTCTATCTTTCTCAGGAGCACTATCCCTGCTCCATCTGGCTAAACATAACATCGTATATTGTCTGATTAATTATTGAAGCATTCACTAGATTGAAGTAATCACACTACCACACTCTCAGAGTTATGACGCACCTCCAGCACAAAAATCAAAAACACTTTGAAAATTTCCTGCCAGAAGAGAAAAAAGAACAAAAAATGAGATAACTCTTATCCTTGCAGATATTCCAATAAAAAGGTGGTTTGTAAAGAAATCTAAGCTCCACTATTCCTTATCATGTCAGCGCATGCAGAAAAACAACTACTTCAGAATTAAGATTCCAGAAATTGCCAAAAACCAATCTGAAATATTATAATTATGTTACGGTTCAATTTTTCTGTTTATGCCACATACTTACATGCAACCATGCTTCAAAGAAAAATAAGACTGAAATTTCTCTAAGATGTATCTAACAAGTAGCCACTATAGTGCCTGAAGGGAAACCCCAGAAGCTAATGCTTTCTGAAGAAAATAAAAATTTTGTCTACCACAATCTAAGAATTTACCGCATTGCAGGCGTACTATCTCATCTTCAGCACTTGCTCTTTTTGTGTCTGCAAGTTACAATCCAGCAATAAATTCCATTTAAAAATATATGATTTAACATCAAGAAGAACAAAAAAAAAAAACCAATTGAGTAGCAGAACAATACCGTGCAGGATTAACACAGCATGAAACACAAAATTCAGAGAGTTGCAACACTGTGAAAGAAGATTGCATCCTGCAAACAACGGTAAATCATTTCAATACATCAGGTACTCATGGTCAAGTTCAGCATCTCAGAGGCCAGCTTAGGAAAAACTCACTGACAGAGATTTCTCTCCTTCACAGGACAGCAGCGAGACTGCGGATCCACTGATGAGCATCACATACCTATCCTACCATGTAAATAATGATTAAGGAAACAAGAGAATCAAAAAAACATACAATGCGCAGGCAGTAAGAAGCAATCTCAAAATGAATCTATAGCTAAAATTAGAAATGTTACAGACCATTGGACACGGTACTGTTAAGCATTTTGAGCATGTCTCAAAAAGCTGAATTTATATACAATTAAACTGTAAATTGATTGACAACTTAAAAACCACAATACTTGACGTCAATCAAGTAGCATGATAAAGATTACTTCAAAACAAGTGTTTAGCCATAATAATGGAGGAATCGCAAGTATTTTCCAATATTCGCAACGAAAATACAAAGCAAGAAATTGAAATCACTCACCGTTATCATCAGACAATAAATATCTTCCTTGAACAGTGGTTTACACAAGGTTTTCTCTCGAAAGCAATATTATCCCTGTAATTCACAAAGAGAAGGCAAAAAGAAATGCAAACTTAAATTTTCTTTTCCATTTTCTCGAGAAACAAACAAAAAGAGAACACGAAATTTGAAATTGAGAGAAGATTCTTTGCGTTGGAGAGAGAGAGAGAGAGAGAGTACCTGATCGCTGAAACTGTTGATGAAAATTGGAGGACAAGAAATTGAAGAAATAGAAACGATAAATTTAACTGAGATTTAAACATTCTGTTTAGATTTTGATTTGAAAATTTTGGGTTCTTTTAGCTCGCTTTTCTGCTCTATCGATCCATTGATATTTTGTTCACTACGTCTGAAATTTTCTGATCGCGAATCCTGTGGGGAATGAAATTTGTGCCGGTCCGAGCCTCATCAGCCCAGAGGCTCGTAATTATTTCTAAGGCTAATTACAATAATTATCCAAGACCTCCCTCTATAGTCTATAGCTCTTTATTAACAGAAAGGGCTATTATTCCACACCTCGCCTGAGGTTTCAGCTTTAGTTGTTGACACCCCAAAGGCATGAAAAATTAGCGCTAACCTCTGTCTCCACATTTGGAGAAATATCCAATACCTCCCCCTTATTGGCCTTAATTGATAAATTTCTTACATCTGGTTTATTTTATTGAATCCTATGACATTGATTAATATTAAACCTATCCATTTTATTCCAAAATTATTAAAAACACCCCTACCTTAAAAGATGTCTTAGGGTTTCATTCAATTTTAAAATTAAAAGTCTATTTTATCCATTCTCATCACTTACCAACTTATAAAATATTTTTAATTTCTCCTACGTTATTGTTTCTATTAAAAATTAAACTGGTAGAATAGCTTCCATACAATTTATTATATATTTATGATTTTTAATTTAATTATTTTTTACGGAAAAAGCTTAATTTTATCAAAATTCTTTTTTTAATTCAACTGCTTTTTTGTTTCAATTAAATTTTTATTTAAATGTGTTTATATTTGTGTTACCATCCCTAGGAAGATATAATTAAAAGTTAAAGGATGATTTTGTGGATGAGGGAGGAGAGGGATAATAACCCTTTTTAATTATGCATCTAATGAAATGAAAATTCTATTTGTAATTTTTGCTCCAAATTCAACACTTCACGTCTCAAAACTCCCGCAAAACGAAGCACAAAATTCCTTCGATTCTTAAATGTCGACCGTCCCCGCCGTCCATAACCACCGCCACATCCTCCGTCTGATCCTCTCATGCCGCAAAATCACGGCGCAAGTGTCCAACACATCCACCTCCTCGATCGTCGCCATGGCCTCGTCGTCCCAACACGACTTCCTCAAGCGTTACCACTCCAAACTCAACCGCTTTCCAGGCTCCCACCGCTTCTGGGACACCAGCACCGCCTCGCGCGTGGGCCACAAAGTCGCCTTTCAGCTTAAAGAAATCGGAATCGAATCTGTTGCTATTGATCTCCGTGAAGAGCTCTCGAGGCCGCCGCATCAGAAGATCATGGTCTTGCCGCTGTTTGATTCGGTGCGTCGCGCTGGTGTCGTCGTTGATGGAGTTGAGAAGTTAAGCGAAATCGGGCCGGTCTTTGATTAGGATGGGCTAGGATATTAAGAACAATTTTTTAAGCCGGGGGGTAATTGTAGGATTTGAGAATGGTAGTCGTATTCGGATATTTGATTATCTGTTTTGGACTTGTAACTTTTTCGAAGTTTTATATTTTTATATACATTTTTCTTAATATTAATAATTTAATGGCAATTTGGTTGATGATGATTGGATATCTAATATATTGAATTATTGATATAGTATTTGGCATGGCATTTAGTTAAAGAAAATTAAAATTTTAATTGAATTGAATTGAATCAAATTAAATTTTTTATAGATCAATTCAGATTAAGATTGATGACATTCGATAGACTTATTGCCTTCAATCCATCCAATAATACATTTCTACTGTAGGGTTGGCAATTTTCGGGCCTCGCCTCGTTCGGAATCCTAACGACACCGTCCGATCGAATCTTGAATCATTGCCTTCCCTTTTTTTTTTTTAAAAAAAAATTATAATTATTTAAGTTTTTCTGCGGTCTATAATTTCTAGAAGAGGATATGAATTTTATTAAATGGATTAGTTTATTCATGAGAAGTTAACAATAATATTATGTATATAAAGTCAGAATCCTAGTTTTGGATCGAAATTTATGATGTTGCTCATGTATTAATATTACATTAATTATAAAAAAATAAAATATATATTACACCATTTTACAGTTAATGTGATATTGTTACAAGCTAACCACATTAACTGAAATTTGAAACACCATTTTCAATTATATTCGTATAGTATTATTCCAAAATTGATTGAACGAGAGAAAGATTGAACATAAAGTATAGTCTATTTATGCTACATTTGATTTATAATTTCAATTTCAGTATCAGCTATTAAATTGATAATTTAATGAAAATTATTGAGTTACCATCCACTTAACCTTACAAAATCAAATGTCAACCAATCGTTGTGATAAAAAAAAAAAAAATTATTTATATATATATATATATTAATATTTCTGGATATTAATATAATAATTAACAGAATTCGATTATATTATTGAATTAATACTATAGTAAATTTTAATTTTATTTTTTATTATAAACTCTTTGAATACTAATTTACACATTAAATGTTATTAAAAAATAATTATACATTAACAAAATATATAGTTATTTATTAAGACCCTAAACAAATTAGGCGAAGTAAAACTTTGAAATTTGATCCATTTGACTTCATTTTATATACATTAAACTTAGAATTTAATATTTTCAAGAACAAATAATAATTAAATTGATCTTGAAAACAAATTCTCACACCATGTCCTATAAAAACCCTAACATTGTGCCATCCTTTAAAGTTTAAACACATAAAAACCATACAAAATTCTTACCATTATTTCTCAAATTAATTGTAATGGCTCCTATTACTTATTTCTTCTTATCAATTTTGCTCATTGATTGTAATTTGGAAACAATTTTGGCAACCAAAAAGCTGCCACAATTGTCTAAGGGCTCATTGTCTATATTATCCGCGGTGTTGCCCTTTACGGTGGAGGCAAAGCTGCCATCTCTGAGTTCATTGCCTCCGCTCTCTAGCATTTTAGGTGCCATGGCACCTTCACCAATGGGTGCAACCTTACCATCTTCAATATTCAAGGGCTCATTTTCCCCACTTTCAGCAAAGGACTCACTGTGCAACTTTTCGGAACATTGCGTCGGCCTTGCCACTGGCAGCTTCATTCGACTGGCCGACAATCTGTCCCCGCAGTTCCAAAGAAACTTCCCTCTCTCCTTGTGCTTTCACCACCATTTGTGCGTAATAGAACTTGACAAGTCTACATAATTTATATATATTCTAGCTCCATGTAACAATAATATTATCAAAGGACACTTTGGTAACATAGAATTAATCGCATGCTTTATATCTTGTTGATGCTAGATTTTGACACCAATGATTCGCACGTGCAAAGTGCTAAGTTGGCTTAGAAGTTATATGTGAATGGAAAATGCAATGAAATAAATAGAAGATGATTTTTAAAGTAGTTCGGATGCTTAAAGTGAATCCTACGTCCACTGTTCTTTTATATATATGAGGTTATAGGAGGTCGTGTATGATGAACAATGAGCAGAGGTACAAATGATTGATTATTTTGAGAGAATATCAAGTCAGTCTCTTTCTTGTAGGTTATCTGTGGTTTGAGAATTAAAGGTTACACTCAGAATGAGAGTTTTTTATCAGAATCCCAAAATGAGAGGGGGGCCCCTCTATTTATAGTAGAAGGTTTCAGGGTAATGATTATAAGTCTACAAGTGGGTAGGTGTAGTACAATTCCTATCGCACTTCCCATTGGCTGATTACATAGGAGATATCCTCAAATTGCGCAGGGCTTGGATAGGTGGGCGACTCCTATCCACTCGTAGATAAATTATGAGTCTACCAAGTTAATGACAACTATACTCTTTCTATCTTTGGACGACGTGGCAGCTCTTGGATGACACAAAGCCTACTTGAACTCTGATTGGTGTTGGCTAATGTAACCTTGTGCCAGCCCTTATTTCTTAAGCATAACAGAAGCTCCCCAGTTCTTAGGGTTCAAAAATTGAATTTTGAAAACTTCATAATTATGCCATGACCTGACATGTCTCAAAAGGCATCTGCTCGAACTATCAATTGAGAATAGCCTGAATGATACAATGTTGATGAATTCACTCGACCAGAAAACTGTATAGAGGTCGCAACACAGATCTTCTGGAGTTACACAAGCGACCTGTGTCGGATTGTACCCAATATTATACCGATGTGTTTCAAACTCTATTTGTTATCCGCGACCTGAAAGTACTTAGAGTATTTTGCTATCAAAAGCTGGAAATCACTTTGCTCCGAGTTTGATATATGAGGAAGAGTGTTTTATTCGAACGACCTCTTCAAATGTTTATCTATTGCGCTTAACAATTGTCCTGGTCAATAAAATAAGCTTTATCTAACAGACGTGTCTTTGCACAATAAGTGTTAGCCATGAGTATTAAATACAAGCCAAGCTGAAACGACATTCTCTTTTAAGCATAAAATGCGGATGAGGGTGCATTTAATGTGGAGGAGATAACCACGCCGATGTTTGGCAACTCTAATGGAAGGAAACGTAGATTGATTTCCACGAGGCGTGAAGATTACTCTTCACAAGGATTGGCGACACATGGTCGCATCTAATAGCTAGAAACGCATCCCGCCCAAATGTCACTTACAAGGGAAGCCAAACGTCGCCTTCTTCTCTATAAAACCCTAAGCCTATTCCATATTTTTCATAGAACCTGCATTTCCAGAGAGAAAATAGAGTTTCCATACTCAAGAAATTAGTTCATCCTCTTCCTGGTTGATGCGCACTCGTTGCTACGACAGAATGTTCGCTCCTAGTAATCCGGAGGTAAAGAAAAATTCTTCTCTTTCTCTTTTTCATTTATGTTAAAAAACTCAATTTTCACAGTAATGGTGAGATTAGATGCCTGCTAGGATTACATGATGCACATTCTCAGGTGGTGTTTGAAATGGAACACTTTTAAGAGTTAAAATCTAGGGCACAAATCTTTGGGAAATCATCCTCAAGAATTTTTCAGGGTTTATAGGGTTATGGGAGAGAAACTAGGGTTTCTTTTATTCTTTTAAGTCATTGTACAAGACAATGTGTACGGAGACTGAGTCATCTCTGCATGTCACATATTTTCAGACCTTAAGAGGAATGGATGGTCTTGATACAAGAGCAACCAAAGGGACAAGCTCGCAGCCACTAGGCACTTTGGTGGGTCCCAGACAGGCGGTACTATTAGCAGCCACCGCAGACAAAATACAAAAGGCGATAGATTAGTTTGCAATCAATGTAAATGTCTACCAACATAGGTCGCACACTGCTTAGAACCCTCTAGAGGGAATGGCTGTGATCTCAGAAGTAATTTTCAAATGCTGGGTAACGATACCCTTTCACCCCTTTATCAAGACGATCCTCGACCACTTTAGGGTTGCACTGTTCCAGTTAACACTCAATGCGTATATGATAGCGATCGCTATGTATCACATGTGGCGGACATAAACTCGGTGAGCTGACAGTTGTGGAGCTCGACTGCGCCTACTATTTGAAGAGGAGTAAAGATAAGGATTCATACTACCTCTCAAAATGATCAACGATTGAGGGAGGGATATTTGGTTACCCCAGCAACATCAGGGCTTATGAAACCAAATATTTCTTCTTCCAGTATGATGGTGTTTGTAAATTTAGAGAGCCGAGTAGGTTTTCCCTTTAATTTCCAAACTGTTTATCCCTTCCTTAATAAGTAAGGCTAACACACACTTTGCTTTCTTGTAGAAAACAAGATGACCAGGTTATCGGTTCTAGTAGATTTTAGCCATATCGAGGCATTCGGTCTACTGCCTGACCAAAGTCGTGACGCGAAGCTGCTCTTGACCACTGCCAATTTACAAAAGTATGGTTTCTTTAGCCCCGAGGCGTCCTTGGAAGCTCTAACTCATAAGTATCTTCCCATGCAGGAGAACTGTCTTTATGAACAAAAGACTTTCCTTGTTGACACACTTTCATGTCACGAAGCAACCATGCCACCAAGGGTCTCAAGACATCGAGGAGAGCTGGGGGATTCACATTCCCCAGAATCAACCTGACTGAACCAACTGGAGTGACCTTTAACGATGTTCCCATGGGAGGGATACAAATTGATGCTGAAAGGCAACAAACCATGGAGCGACGCGAAGAAGCTCCCTAGCCTGTGGCTGCTCACGGTTCGAAGAAGAAGACTGTGGGCTAGAAGACCAGGAAGAGAAAGCAACTACCCACTGACGAGGAGTCAGAGTCTGAACTAGAGGGCCTCGGGGTGTTTCCAAAAAGATCTTAGCCCTACCACGTCTTTTGCTCAAGGATTCCCTTGATGGACGCCCTCGACACTCCAACTGCCCCCGAGAATTCATGTAGGGGAGAGGGAACAACCATAGCTACCCAGAGGAGAGTAGGCAAACAACGAGCCGAGGAGGTGCCTACCTCTTTGAGGCTAAACCTGTTTGTGTTGGATTCATTAAGGCAACTGTTAGAACACTTGTAGTCGGTGGTATACACCCTGTTAGAATGCCAACTCACTGCGGTCTTTGATGGGTTCATTGCTTCTTGACCCATTGATCTGGTGGCCCCTATGATCCAGTTACAAAGTCAGGTAAAGC